CCATAAACAAGCAAACTACAACATTTTAACTCAGCTAACAAAGCCACCTCCGTGCTACTGCTACTATAGCGCCTCGTCACGAACGGATGAGAACCTCTTTAGAGAAGGTGTAGGGGCGTGACGTCACTCTTCTCTTAAGCGAACACCATTACCGCAACAAGACGATAGATTCAAGTGGCGTTCGTTGCGTAGTTGATAGCGTCTCGGATTGGTGTTCTGGAGTCTTCAGTTAAATCCCGCCGGGGACCCTAACTTTTTGATTTTGCTTAGAATGCAAATACTTCTTAACTGTACATCTTTTGTTAGAATTTGAGGCATTTATAACTTAATTTATGAACAGAACTATTTTTTTTTTATATATAGTAAACCTTCATTCGATTTTTATTTTATGTATTTTTAGCGAATTTCCCATATAGGGAATAAGCTATTACCGTAGTACTCATGGTAAGACCTGGACCCGGGACCGATTTTTTTTTTTCGTTTTGAGGTCCCTAGAGGCCAAAAACACCATCCGTTCAAATTAATCTTATCTTACTAATATTATAAATTTGAAAGTTTGTGAGTTTGTGTGTATGTTTGTGTGTGTGTTTGTGTGTGTGTTTGTGTGTGTGTTGCTCAATCACGCATAAACTACTGGACGGATTGGGCTGAAATTTGGCATGATCATAGCTCACATTCCCGATTAACATTAAAGCATATTCTTATCTCAAAAACCCTTTCGGGCTCCGCCCCAGTGGCTCTGTAGTTCCCCATGTTAATCTTAACAGCTTAATCTTAACAGCTGTTTCAATTAAACAAGTTGGTTCTGTTCTATGATGTTCAATAGCATAAAAGCTACAAGGATTACCAACAGGGTGCAGCACTATTATTTTTTTTTTTTTTTATTTATGACAACAGCTAATTTCCAACCAAAAGGTGAGTGAGCGTAGCGAACGAACTTCAACCTGGAGGCGAGTTAGCGTAGCGAACGAGCTAACCTGAAGGCAAGTGAGCGCAGCGAACGAGCTCCAACCTAAAGGTGAGTGAGCGTAGCGAACGAACTTCAACCAGGACGTGAATGAGCCATGCGAATACTTATGAAGTTAAACGGGGCGAAGCCCGCGGGTACAGCTAGTATATATATATATGTGTGTGTCCGTTAGCGCGATAACTCGAGCAAAAATGATCCGATTTTGATGAAATTTGGTACAAACGTGTAAACCTACGTTTATTCGAACGAGTTCGCGAACCAGCATGATCGGACCATGGGAACAGGGGTTTATGGGGGCTTTTATGGGGTAAAAATGGGTTTTTCCTATTTTTGACCCAAAAAACATAAAATTTTGAAATTTCTTTCCAAACTATTTTGTAGAGCTTAAAAAAACAAATAATTTAGTATATTGAAGCGTTATAATGCGCCTAATGGTTACGGAGAAAATTCCAAAAAATTGTTAATTTAAAATTCCCATGTTATTCTTATGGAGAATAAGTAAACCGTTGTAGTGTGCTTGTTTATTAACATATTTTGCCCAAATTTGGAAAATGTTTTTATTTCTTACTAACTATTAACATTTTACATAAAAAAACACTTTTACCCTCCCTGTTGCAGCAAACCTAAGTATGTGTTAAACTGATTCTATTTAAATAGGGAATAAATGTGATATTTTTAAGGAGACATTTTAGTCTAAATCCAATCAGGCAAATGGAAATTCGCTTAGTCTGCAGGTTTGCTGCGGCGGGGGTATTTATATTATAAGCAGGTTTGGTTGGTTAGGTTAGGTTATGGTGGTTTAATTTTATAATACAAAATGTTAAAATTAATTTTATAATTAAATACCCCCGCCGCAGCAAACCTGCAGACTAAGCGAATTTCCATTTGACTGATTGGATTTACACTGAAATGTCTACTTAAAAATATAACATTTATTCCCGATTTAAATAGAATTAGTTTAACAAGTACTTAGGTTTGCTGCATCAAGGAGGGTAAAATTGTTTTTTTTTTTTTGTAAAATGTTAATAGTTAGTAAGAAATAAAAACATTTTCCAAATTTGATCAAAATATGTTCATAAACAAGCAAACTACAACAGTTTACTTATTCTCCATAAGAATAACATGGGAATTTTAAATTTACAATTTTTTGGAATTTTCTCCGTAACCGTTAGGCGCATAATAACGCTTCAATATACTAAATTATTTGTTTTTTTAAGCTCTACAAAATGGTTTGGAAATAAATTGCAAAATTTTAAGTTTTTTGGGTCAAAAATGGGCAAAACCTATTTTTACCCCATAAAACCCCCCGTAAACACCCGTTACCATGGTCCGATCATGCTGGATCGCGAACTCGTTCGAATAAACGTAGGTTTACTTGTTTGTGCCAAATTTCATCAAAATCGGATCATTTTTGCTTGAGTTATCGTGCTGACGGACACATATATATATATATATATATATGAATTTGAACGGATGGTGTTTTTGGCTTCTAGGGACCTCAAAACAAACAAAAAAATCGGTCCCGCGTCCAGGTCTTACCATGAGTACTACGGTAATAGCTTATTCCCTGTATGGGAAATTCGCTAAAATCATAAATAAAAACCTTTATTCAATTTTTATCTTATGTCTTTTTTATATTACAGTATCAGCAAGTTTGGTTGGTTAGGTTAGGTTATGACGATTTAATTTTATAATAAAAATTTTTTAAATTAAGTTTATATTCAAAAAATTATTTAATAATATAAAAGTCTATTTTAGGACTAAAAAATTATAAAATAAATTTAAAGTTTTTCTTAAATCGACGTGAGGGGCTCTCCCACAATCCCCCACTCCTTCGCAGAAAAGGTTCTCATCAGTTCCGGACGAGAAAAATGAGACGCCAGACTACGGTTACGACACGGAATTCAGAAATGCATTCCTCCAATTAATTGAGCTAGAATAAAGAATCATAATTATTAACATCTTTTAACATTGAAAGAATATGTTTATCGTTGTATTCTAAAGCCCCGGTGTGTCTCAACGAGTAGTGCTCTGACAGCGCAAGGCATCAAAGGTACAAATTCACAGCCCAAACGAGTTAACATATCACTTTTTTTATTCCAACATACAGATAAATTTTCCCCAAAAACAAACAGCTATTTTTTAATTAAAAAAAATGAATTTTTAATTTTTTTTATAAAGTACAAAATTAAAAAAAAAATTAAATAGCTAGTGATTATTATCTTATTTTTCCACACCTGAATGCCAATTTTGGTGAGAATCGTATTACCCATTCTCACTGTGAACTGGTACCAAAGATGACAAATTTACTACTTTCAAGCTCCATATTTCGCTTGATATTCAAAATAAATAATTTTGTCTCATATATATTTGTATCTCTCATTTTTAGTACAATTGAGCAATAACAAAAAATAAGACATCAGATTTTTGACCAATAAATCTATGCTGCTAAGTACTAAGTACTGGTACTACTGTGGTAGTAAAGCGTCTAGGCAGCCCACGGTCGGAGTGCAACTCCGAGGATCGTGGATCAGATCGTGTGCCGATGGCGCGACGTCAATCATTACCGCAACGATACGGAGCTGAGTGATGATTTTTTTCATATCAGCAAGTTTGGTTAGGTTATGACAGTTTAATTATATTTAATTTAAATTTAACCTACAAACTATACGTTTTGACAGCGAAAGTGATAGAGATAAGGGAAAGAGATAACAATTTTCCGCGAACAGTTAAGGCTATGCTGATGCGCCGGTATGATTCGGAAGCTTACGACGTGGTGCGATGGTGGGGGGTGTTCTGATCCACGATCCTCGGAGTTACACTGGCTGCCTAGACGCTTTTCTAAGGTAGTTGAGTGTGTCTCTGTGTGAGGCTACGGCCACACGGGCGTTTTTTCACGCAAGAACGCAGCGTGAAAAAACGCGAGAATTATGGGCAGCATAAAATGTAATGAGGTATGCCACACGGAGTGTGTTTTCACGCAGATTGCCCGCAGAACGGACTCGGGTGCATTTTTGAAGCTTGTTTTCACGCTCTGTCCCTGTCCACACGGGCGGGAGCAACACGCAGCTTTGATCAAGTCGTTCTAGCAAGTGAAAATAAAGTTAAATGTATCTAATTTTTCCAGGATAGCGTAAAATATTTTTGGGTCTAGCCGATTATACATTAGGATCTTAAACCTAGGTCGACCTTACTGGGCCACTTAATAATTTGTTACTAAAAAGAAAGGCATTTAGTTGGACTAAAAAATGTAAAGAGGCATTTATGTAATAGAATATTCAAAGATCTAATGAAAATCTTGTCATAAAAATATTTATATTATATTTATTTTTAATACTAAATGTCAAAATAAAATAATGTTTGTGTTGTTTTCGTATCGAAATTAATATATTAAATTTATTTTTTATACTAAATGTAAATAATTAAATGAAAGGTTAACAATATAAAATAATTTTAGTATTGTTTTCGTACCGAAATCAATATACCATTCATATTTCTTGTTCACTAGTCAGAAACAAGGTTATTATTCCGGCCATGAGGAAGATATATAACATAATTACGTGCATTCGTCAATCAACTGCGGGTTCCCACGGCTTTTTGCCGCTCCTGCCACAACCTGCGTGAAAATAAGCTAAATCTTTCCGCGTGAAAAAAAAACGCACGTGTGGCATACAACAGCGGGAATTCAAGCAACGTGAAAATAAGCTACATTTTACCGCGTGGAAAAACGCCCGTGTGGCCGTAGCCTCGAAGGGGCGGGGCGCCCAGCCCCAGCCCATCATCACGATCACATTCAGCTCTCAGCTGACAAAAGTTGCTCACCTTTATTTATTGGATAGCCTAGGGTTCACTACGATACTCGGACAGAATACGATTGAATCGATCTATCGTGATTCTGCGATATTTCTTTCTTACTGAAATCGAATTGGTTCTATGACGACGGAATCATCGTATCCTATGTTTGTGTTTGTTTACGTTTACGTGTGTTGTTATGTACGTTACGTTGTTTATTGTTGACATTGTCTTGTGTGACTTAGTTAATAGTTGTTGGAGGTGGCCAGGTACACGATACACGTAAATTAGATTTTAAAATGGAATTAATTTTAAAAGAGATGGAAGCTTAACAGATTTAAATTGTTATACGTCAAGGAAATTTCGGGCTATGTAAGGTCAAAGGAAGAATTTGACCAATTAGGTAACTTATGTTTCTCTGGCATCAAGATCAAATGGATTTGCTTTTTCCACGAGAAGTACAGGTAGAAATATGTTATTACTATTACCTAATAAATCCATTCATGTTATTGTCTCCTTGATTTGATAATTGACTAAAATTAAATAGATTAGATTATTAACCTCTAAGCCTAGAAAGTATTAATCAGAAGATTCTGAGGGGTGGCGGTAAGGTAATTGTACCTAATAAGGTTAACGTAGGGACTTGATGAAGTTTGAAAACATTTTTAAGATTATCAGTAAGAGTTAATTGGTTTCTTAAGAACATTAAAGTTATGAAAGCTTAAGTCGCTACCTTAGTTGCAATTTTTTGCAGTTGTTAGAGCGATTGAATTGATAGGTAGCCTACAAGTCTGTAGAGAACCTAACTTATAGCCTAGGCCTAACCTATAGGCCTAACTTGCTATCAGATGAAAATTTAGTTTGATATTTCTATCGTAGGCCTATCAGTAGAAGTTTTCACTCGATATGACTTAAATAACTTATTTATTTAAGTTACTTATGCTTTTCAAAAAGACTCGTATACACGTGCTGTGGGGTTAACTTGGGTACGGTACTTTGGTATTATCCGGAGGCCACCCTTACACAGCGCAGTTATGTTAGGTTGGGTTTTCTTACAATACCAGATGAGTCATAAATTACTTTTGCACGCCATATCCCCTCAAGTACTTAGCCAGGTCATTGACCGGAGCATGCATCACCTGTTACCACCTGTATCTGGGGTATTTGGCGGGCGAAAGTATGACTCAATTGGTATAGTTCAATTCATAACGAAACGAGGAAAGTTTTATAAACATATTTGGGCTGCACTTTACTTGACGTCCTACACTCATTCGATTGTTTTTCGATTCGATATTTTCATTCGATTGTTTCATTCGATATATCGTTTGGTTAGTTAGGTTAGGTTAACCTTACCTAACTAACCAAACGATATATCGAATGAAGCAATCGATTAATCGATATATCGATCGATATTTTCATTCGAATGAGTGTAGGACGTCAAGTAAAGTGCAGCCCATATTTGATAATCCAACCTAACATGACGCAGCGTGCTGTATACCTAAGTTACTTGGCAGAGTATAGCGGCAGCGACGCATTTAACTCAATCCTCCCCGACATCGCTGCCTTTTTTTCTGGGAGACAGAACTCAAAGGCCGCTAATTGTAATCATGTCAAATTTGGACGGTCAGTCAATTAAAGCAGGTTTTTTCCTATTACAGTATGTAGATATTTTTGGACTCTCCAGTAAAAAATCTCTCTAAAATAATTGGCCTCTGCATAATACCAAAGTACCCTAACATTTCGCTTGGCTTAGCTTTTTAAGTTACCGGTACGGTAGTTAAAGATAATTACAAACAAGGCCTACTGTACATTATGTAAATTGTATACACAAGAGTTGATAAGTAGGCTATATCTAGTAATTGTTTTTAAACAAATAAATTTACACTTGGACCTCAATTTGTAATTGTATCCTTTTTTTGTAAGTTTTGTTAGCTACTTAGGCTAACCTAAGTTAAGTTAAGTTCATTTTAAAGCTACAGCACACTGTTATAGATTGGTGGGCGATAACATTGACTAAGTTATATATACCTACTATATACAAGTTACCTGTAATGGCGATAATCTACTTAAGAATCCTCATAAGCTAACATGTAAAATCAATATTGAAATTCAATAACTTATAGGCCTACATAACTTAATGGGCTATTGATTAAACTTACTAGGATTTTAAGTTTATTCGATAGCTTAAGCTATATTATGTAATAAGTTTATTCCATTATGTAATACCTTAAGTAACTTAATAAGTTATTCCATCGATAATATCTTAGCTTTTCTCTTTGGAATTGTAGATTGATGTTTTAAAATTGATTGACTTAATGCTTTTTAATGTTTTTGCAGGTTCATACCCTGATCAATTGACTCTAGGCCTAGTCAGATTTCAAGTTTGCGTACCTCTAACCAACATTCGCAAAATGCATTGGAGTGTGGTCACAGATCTCTCTATTTCGTAATAAATAAATCCAGCGGTGAACAGGTAAGACATTTATTTGTTTAAATTGTTTATTTATAGTAGTAACATTTTCTATACAGCCTCTGATCCCATGTAGGGGTTGTCATATTAGTGGTGGTTCTAGATTAGAACGTTGTGAAGGGCTAACAGGGGTGATTAACATTAGGAGGGGGTTTCAGGGGTTCCCCTTAAGAAAATCTGCTATTTTTATTTTTTTTTTTACTGTGTTTACGTCTAGAACTGTGTTCCAAAACCTCTGTCACCTATTTATGACAAAATTTATGTTTAAACTTATATTTCCAGAGTCAGATTCTAATGGGGAGGGCTCTTGCTTCTATAGCCCTCCACCCCTTGGAACCGCCCACTGCATTATAGTATTTTAATGTGGGAAAAATTGAGAATTAATTTAGTTGGAAGATAAGATATAACGGGACAGCAAAATTGGTAGAATAGGCATATAAGCTTTAACAAATTTCATGCAAATATATTTGATTAAGGTAATCTTACTAATATTATAAATGTGAAAGTTTGTGTGTTTGTTTGTTTGTTTGTTTGTTTGAAGTTCAATCGCGCATAAACCACTGGACGGATTGGGCTGAAATTTGGCATCATGATAGCTCACATTCCCGATTAACATATAGGCATATTCTTATCTCAAAAATCCTTTCGGGCTCCGCCCCATTGGCTCTGTAGTTCCCCATGTTAACCTTATGAGTATTCATATTTAAAGGGAATTAAAGAATTTGGTCAGCTGTTTCAACTAACAAAGTTGGTTCTGTGATATTCAAAAGCATTAAAGTTATAAGATTTACCAACAGGGTGCAGCACTATATTTTTTTGCATTTATGTAATGAGAACTGTCAGAGTAGGATTGTTTACAGTTATGTTTATGTTTTTAATGTCATGAATAATTTGTGATTTTTTGAGAATTTTTAATAATTTATTTTTCTTACTTTTTAGGTGAAGTGGTAGAACATTATGGCTATAGTAGATGTGTAATACCATAGTATACCGTCGATTTAAAGAAGCAAATTTTATCAAACTTTCTCCTCCCCCATTACAAACGCATAACTGCAATAAGCATTTTAAACTTATATGCCAACCCCGTACGAAGGACGGGTACTCTGCTAGTGTGATCATAAATAAAAGCATCTGCCACTATTTAACCCTCTATCTGGCGCTGGTCGATTTTAGACCACTAAAACGTGAGTTCTCAGTGGCGCTGGTCGATTATAGACCAAGATGACATGGGTCGGGTTTTTCTATTATTAAAATATGAAAACAGTTTTAAAACGCATTAAATCTTATACCTTTAGAAAGATGAGATTCTGAGGATTCATTTTCATGCATAAAACATTATTCAGTGAGTATTATGTAGCGAGAAACGGTAGTTTGAAAAACTAGAGAGTTCAAAATAGATTTTGGCGGTGGAAAGTTTTGGTCACGTGACTACAAAAACAGCTGTTTTTGGCGATTGTCAATTAAATTGTATACAATATTAGTACATATTCTGAAACTACAATAAATTCCCTACAATTCCCTGTGAATCTTAAAGTTTGATTGTAAAAATATAATTTGTTTTTAAAAATGTCATAAATATTATGTTTTTGTAAAAAAAATCTTCAAAATTATACATTCCGACGTAAATTTCTCCGACATTTTAGAATTCAACTAAATATAACTATATATTTTCAGAAAGATCTTTTTATTACCTATTGTACAGTATCATTTCATTTTTTGTTGATGCATTCTATTATTTCCTACGTGACAAAAATAAATTTGGTAGTTTTTCAAAAAAGAAAATACGTATGAAGAATTTATTTTTTTATAATTTTATTTTTATGAGTATTTTAAAAACATTGATATTTCTACGTAGGGAATCATATTTCACACAAACTTTACATTTAGATAAAATGTGTAAAAAATTATTTTGTGGTTTTCTTGTGGGTTGCTTTTGAAATTTCTAATTTGCATAATCCAAAAATTTGCAAACCTTTTGCTACTACGCCTAAACGCATTGCTAGAAAAAGAATATTTTATATCATTATATTCTAAATTCATCACTGAAATAGAAAATATATATATGTGTGTACTTATATTCACAAATAAATGTTCTGTGGCAAAATATATGATACCACTACAAAAGCGCCAAAATATACCCGCCACTGGTGAATAAAATGACCGCCAGATCTAGGGTTAAAATTAAAATTAGGCTTAGGCCTAATACAGATAAACCATTGCTGTTGCTAAAAGCCTAATACAGATAAACCATTGCTGTTGCTAAAAGCCTAATACAGATAAACCATTGCTGTTGCTAAAATAAACCTGCATTAGTCTTGATTTTAAAATAGGTATGGGTTATATTTTTTGTAAACCATAAGCTGTCGTTGTTTATAAAAAAAATGAAGTTGAAACTGTTAATTACTGAGAAAACCATTATTTGAGGTAGAAATTAATCTAGTCAAAAGGTACATTTTAATTAAATTATGTTAATTTATAAAACTGCTATCTAACTCGTACTTAAATACAAGTGAATAAAATGTTGTGGATGTTCAATGAATTTTAGCATTAGTTTGTCTGCAAATTTTAATTTCTCGAGAACATGCTCCATTCAACCCAAATAGACACGTTAAAGTTTTAACATTGCATTCTAGCCGAGGAGAATTTATTGTTCATTCATCCTACACTAGCCTCCTTATTTAAATAACATGTAAAGTTTCTCTGTTCTAGAAGACTGAAGAAGGAACATCACAGGGGCTGTTACTTAGACCTTTTTTACAGCATTGATGAATAATTGTCTTGGCAGCAACTAGAGTGACTACGTTACAAGTTAAATCATCTTTCTACTGCAAGGATTCCAATCAACAAAGATTTTTAATCGATAACATATTGTATTGATGCCTTATTCAATCTTTAAAATTGTAAAATAAAGTACTCTTGTATTCTTGTATTGCATTCTTGTGTTCTTGTCCTCTCTGTAGAGGTTATAGAGAAACTTAATGTAAATAAGTGAACACAAATGATAGAAAAACAATTTTATATAATAATAAAAACTAAATAATTAATTGAGAGCCCTCTCGATTGGGATAACCCAATTGATATTTTACTTCTTCTATCAAAACAAATACTAAAATACTCTCTTATTGTTTTGTGTTAACTATATATAATTTAAATTATTTACATAAACATCTTAGTTATATATTTTATTTATCTTTTATATATATATTCTATTATAAATTACCACACAGTCAAGTATAAAGTTGAAGCTCGATTATAAAGTGCACTAATCATAGTAGGCCTATCAGTCAACAAAACTTGAATTGTTCACACCAAGTGGGAATATAATTATTTGAAATAAGTCTTTCCTTCAATAAAATCTTTAAAGAATATTTAATTGCCATGTAAGCTTGGTAGGTACTGAAAAGTGTATTATACTCATCACCCATTTCAATCAATGTAAGATTTGTTTTCGTTTTAAAATTTGTATGTTTGCTGATATAGCGTTATAAGATACAGGGAAGAACACACTTCACCTTGATTACCTACGTCAAAATAACAAGTTATTTTCACGTTTTTTTTTTATTTTTCAACTTACTGGTAACCATTTAGCTATCTGCAATATAGGTTGATAATTTTTTTTTTTTAACATCCAATGAATTATTTACAAAGATGTTTGAAGTTGTTATAAGGTCAAACATGAGGAAACCCCATTTTTACCTCTACTCATAGTCCGATCATGCTGGTTCACGAACGGAACGCTGTAACAAACGTTGTTTTTTATTGTTTGTTAAAAATTTCATCATAATTGGATTATTTTGACTCTTAATTTTGACTTTGAATTATATGTGTATAGGCATAGACTAAACTAAGCAGCACAAATCTAAGGGAGTATGTTTTATCTACGGTATAGGCTATAATTTACAGTAGAACCTTGATAACAAGACTCTTATAAGGATTATAAAATAAGACTTGTTATCAAGGTTGACTTCTTATCGAGGTTTGCAATAACATATGATTAGGGGTAAAATAATTTCAAGGGGATTTGAAAATAACCCTTGTTATCAAGGTCGACTTGTTATCAAGGTTCTACTGTATATTCATATTCATATTCAAACATCTTTATTCGTAAATCATGTACATTGGTGGTACAGTGAATAGTGTCAGAATACTTAAAATAAAAATACTATTTCTATTTATGGGAGGTGGAAAATTCATCAAAAGAATATAATGCTAGATTTATTAAATGCTCCTTTAGAATTTTCTTGAATTTAGATAGGTTCGTTTCTTTTTTTATGAATTCAGGGACAAATTTTAGAAAATCATTACCAGCATATGAGGGTTTTTTTCAAAAAATTTTAATTTGTGAGGCTGGACAAACTCCCTTCTCCTCCTAAAATTATAAGAATGCACTGAATTTATTACTTGCTCAGATTCATTTTTTTTGCGATAAGAATTGTTTCATAAATATATTGCCCATAAACTGTAAAAATTTGTAATTTCTTAAAATGTTCTTTTGTCGAATCATCTCGTTTAAGCTTAAGCATAATTCTGATAGCTTCTTTTTGTCGCTTCAGAATACTATCCATATTTAATATTTTTGTTGACCCATATAATGCTAAACCGAATGAAATATGGGAGTGAATGTGTGCAAAATATATACTTTTTAGGGTTTTCAAATTACAATAAAAGGACATTTTTGATAATGCGAACATTCCAGAGCTAGTTTTGGTTAAAACTTTCTGTGTGTGCTTATCCCAATTCAAATTTTCATCTATTGTTAATCCCAGAAAATTGATTTGATGTTCCTTTTGAATATTATTTGAGTTGTAAGTTATTGTTGGATCTTTTGTAATTCTGTTCTGTGCTGTTCTGAAATTTATAAATTTAGTTTTTTGTGAATTTAATAATAAGTTATGATTGTAGAAATAGTTCCCAATATTCTCTAATTCTACATATGTAAGAATTTCAGCTTCTTCTGGAGAGTTAGATGATACAATCAAATTAGAATCATCAGCGTAAAGACATAATTTAGAATTTTGCTTGTAGGTTAAAGTATCTTCCATGCCCTTAAGGTAACACAAAAATAGCAAAGGCCCCAAAATTGAACCTTGTGGCACCCCAAATTTAATTGGTTGATAAGTTGATGATGATTTGATAATTCTATTATGATTTGTCAAATGGGTAATTTCCACGAATTGAGATCTATTTGTCAAATAGGAAGAAAACCAATTAAGAGCTCTTTTTGATATTCCAATTATTTTAAGTTTTTCTAGTAATTTACTATGTTTTACACTATCAAACGCTTTAGAAAGGTCCATAAATATGCCAATTGTATAATGTCCTTTGTCTACTGATTCAATGACTGATTGGATAAAAGAAACAGCTGCGCTTACAACTGATCTTCCATTCCGAAATCCATGCTGATTATCATCCAAAATATTAAATTTTTCCAAGAACTCGGATAATTGTAAGTATACAGCTTTTTCATACACTGGGCGATAATTGGATATAATTTCAGGGTCATTTTTTTTGTGTAAAGGAATTATTTTTGCCTGCTTTAATATGTTAGGAAAAATGCCTGAAACAAACGAAGAATTGATCAGATGACAAACAATTTTGCTGATGTAGGTTTTTGCAGCCTTTATTATTGTTACAGGAATTTCGTCATGCCCACTGGAGTGTTTATTTTTTAAAGATTGAATTATTTTTTCCACCTCCCTTTCAGTGATCGGTTTCAGTTCAAATTTTGGCTTTACAAACAAGTCATCAATAAAATCAGCTTTCACATCAGCCGTCACATTCTGATTGTTACAATTTAAATTTAAATCTAAATCTGTAACCAGATTTATATGAATTTATTTATATGAATTGAACAGATGGTGCTAAAGGCTTTTTACTTGAACTGCAACTGTAACAGCAATTACAAATTAAAATTCAAACCAACAATGGAGGTTGTATTATTTTGTTTAGAATTATTATAGGCCTACACCTTATTTTCATATTTTTAGGACCACAACAGACCAAATTTAATTGGAACCGGTTGTTTTTTGAAAATCTGATTTTTTGTTATATAATGGGAAAGTAATTGTAACTTTTACAGGTATGGGAGTTGTACCACTTTGTTCAAAATTTAAAACACTAGTTAAAGGGGCATCATTTGGGGGGGCATTTCCCCCCCCTGGATCCTGGGCTAGAGAAAATAAATGGTATCAGCATTCTGACACATACTTTCTCCCATAAGTTTGACAACAACCTTTATCATGTGTAAGCGGTGAGAGTAAATATAAGGAAATGGGATTTGTTCAGAATTTAAAGGACTATAACATACTAAATTTTTATCAAAATCGTTCGGGCCATTTTTGGGAAAATCCTATTTTCCCGTTATTTTATGGGGTTTTATGGGGAAATCCCCATTAAAAATAAAAATTTCTAAAAAAATGAAAAACTATCAAAATTGTAAGGACCATAACATAAGTACTATGTTAAATCAAAACCGGATTTTTGTCTAAAATCCTATTTTTAGTTTTTTATGGGGTTTTATGGGAAAATAACATAATTTACCATAACTTTTGAACCGTAATTTTTACAGAAATGGGATTTGTACCATTTTGTTCAGAATTTAAAGGGCTACAACATACTAAGTTTTTATCAAAATCGTTCGGGCCATTTTTGAGAAAATCCTATTTTTCCGTTTTTTTATGGGTTTTTATGGGAAAATCCCCATTAAAAATCAAAATTTCAAAAAAATGAAAAAACCTTTGGAGATACCATGGATTAGAACCTACATACCAAATTTCATCGAAATCAGACCACAGGTGTAGTCTCTAGCTCAGTACACATCCAGACACACACACAGACATCACTTCGAAAACCACTTTTTTGGGTCCAGGGGGACCCAAAACGAATACATCCACTCAAAACTCAAACTCGAAAATTTTGACGAAAAAAATACTTTCTCCATATACTATGGTATAGGGGGAGAAAGTAAAAATATGCTGTACTAGCCAATATACAAATCTTTTCTCCTGTCACATTCTAAAAAGCACAGCAGAAAAAAATCTGTATATTCTTGTACAGTAATTTGAAACAATGATTATTATTGTTTTATTGTCTTAGAGTTTACTATTATTTTATTATTTGAGTTTACATAAAGTCAGCAGAAACTACTGTACGTACGTACGCATACAGTTAGTTTGTAGAGGAGGATTGAGTAGATGATTTGAATCCGATTGAAATTGAAAACTCAGACTCAGATCCAACAACAAACTCGAATCCGATTTTCCGATATCGGTTCGATAGTGTAATTCAACACAATTCAACACAATTCAATATCGATAGTGTAATTGCAGACTCTCGATAGATCGATTCAATCGTATTCTGTCCGAGTATCGTAGTGAACCCTAGGCTATCCTTATTTATTGGATAGGATAACAATAACATAACCTCAAATAATTTTGCTATTGTTTAGATGTTTTGTTTTGTTTTGCTTTTATTTAGTTTTAGTTTTACCATAGATAAAACATACTCCCCCAAGGTTTTACCATTGACTATTGATATAATAAGCAAAGGTTTTACTATAGGCCTAGTTGCGTTTGTGTAGGCCTATGTGGAACTTACTTATCGTTTGTCATATTTTTGATTAGTTAACTTAGTTGTAACTTAGCCTCTAACTTGTATTTTAGTCTAGATTCTAGAATATATGGTTAAATAAAGAGGAAGAGGGTACGGTAGGTTTTTAGTATTATCTGGCCAAATAATATAACAAAAATATGGAAAGTCATCCACAGGAAATGAGCTTTGTTAGGTCATATGACGACTTTGCAGCTCGCTTAAATGAGCATGAAATTACCACCCACACTAAATATATATTAGAGAAATCCTACAAGAATTTTAGTGCTGACAGAGGTAAGAAATATATTTTTGTTTCCTTGATATGGTTTAAATAGAAAACACAAATAGGCCTAGCCTAACATGGGGGAAATATAAAAAATTTTAACGCCTTGGGTACAGTTTCTTAACTGGGATATGCTAATATCGATTGAAACTATAAAATTGAAAATATGGTTTGTTAATCAATATTTTTACTGTAGGCCTATCAATTATAAAATTAAACTGTCATGAGTTAACCCAACCTAACTAACCAAACTGGCTGATAGTGAAAAAAAATGAATGAAGGTTTAAGCCAGGCCTACTAACTTAATCGATTTGAAAGTTTCAATCGGTATTAGCACAGCCCAGTTAAGAAACTGTACACCCAATTCCTGATTGAAACTATTGAATCGATTAGTAAACCTTCATTCAATTTTTTTTACTATCAGCAAGTTTGGTTAGTTAGGTTGGGTTATGGCAGTTTAATTTTAAGTTATAGGCTAATTGATATAGGCTAGTAAAATATTGATTATTAAACCATATTTTCAATTCGATAATTTAAATCGATATTAGCATAGCCCAGTTAAGAAACTGTACCCCATCGAAGTATCGAACATAAAATTAATGTATAATTCAACCAATAACCTAGCTTAACTGGGCTTGGTAGTTATTGCGTAACTTAGTTAACGTGACCATGTGAACCTTTATTTGAAAATAATGGTGCAAGTTTTTAGGTTAAAAGTGAGTCTAAAATTTGCTTTAAATCACTTAGAATTGACATTAGGTAATTTGATAGTTAAACTTATTTAAAGTTTCTGGTAAGAATTTTGTAAGTAACATTTCGAGTTACAATTTTAAAAGAAAAAAAAACCTAAAACGTGTTGAGCACTGACACATAAAACTCGGCACAATTCTAACCTACCCTAACCAAATTCTATAACATTAGCAAATTTCTGTTGTCAGAAAAGGCATAACTTAGCCCTAGTGAGGATTGCAGGTCGTTCTTTATGTAAATTTGTGACTGCACTTTAAGTCCTTGAAAGGTTAACTTAGTTAGATTAGGTACGGTAAGATAAAGTATAAAGAACTGAGTTGTTGGTTTAAATGTTACCTCCAGACAATTTTTGTGAAATTAAAACACTTGGCCTAGAATTTAATAAATTTTTTTTTTTTTACAGACAGTGCAAAATGGTACTACTATTTAAGAAAATATAAACCTACGATCATATCAATCCTTTAACAGTAACTTAGTCTACTTTATTTATATTGCAACTGTTTGTAGTTATATACATGTTTAGGTAAGTTCTCTTCACCAACAGGATTGTTGATAGGTGGATTTTTGCAAGTAGTTTTTATGAATAAAACTATAAATTTTACTTTTATTCACAAATCTGTCCGTAAAAAATAATATTTTACAATGATTTTTGCAGTATACCCAACCACAGAACAGAGAGTTCACTGGCTGAAGGATATTCCATACTATCTGTTTTCTACAAGAACTTACTATTGCCATCAAGGGAGAGATAAAAATAAAAGCTTCAAAATGAAATACAAGGCGAAAAGAGATAAAATGGTAGGCCTAAGTAAGATCTGATGACACAAGCATGCTGTTTAAATGTTATCGGGAGTTACAAAGAGTACCGGTAGGCACATTTAATTTTGTTAATACTTAATGTTGTTTATGAAAAATTCTGAACCTAAATGAAGAAAATTCAGTAACTCAATACTTGAAAAAAGTCCAATGGTGTATGACCATTAACTTAGCCTACAATATAAAATGTCTCCCCAAAGCAGAACTATGGGCGACAATGTGACATTGTAGCTGAAAGACAAGGAGGGCTGCAGAATTTTTTATTTATTTTTTTTCACCGGCAAAGCTAGGACCACATGGCCTATTCTTATACTCAATCTGTATAAGTTTCTGCAGAAAACTCTACATAACAAGTTAGTAAGAGTTTTTGCAGAAAATATTTCTCTAGAAAGTCGAAAAAATTATTTTCTGCAGAAAAATGCTCCGTTCTGCAATCAGAAACGCTAGGGTACAAAACGTCATGCACTACATAGCCCTAAACAAAATCTGTGACGTCAGTATTCGGTGCATCGATCGTGAGGAGGAACGCATAGGATAAACGAGCTACCAAAGCGATTCAATGTAATAACAGTAGGTGTTTTCAAACTGATACAAGCGTTTGAAAACTTATTTATTTCCAAATGCTCATTATAACTATCACAGGATCCAGTGGCGTAACTACGGGGGGGGGGGGGGGGGTGAGGGGGATAGGACCCCCCACCCCCAAAGGCAAAAAAAAAAAACTGTTTTAGTGAGGCTAAATAACCTACTCCATAATGAACATTGTTCACAGATTGTGGATCAGGAATTGTCGTGGGTAATTTCATAATCTTTGCGAATAAAATCGGGGATTTCCAGTGGCGACTATGCGGAAAGTCATAATATTAGGTTGGCAACACTGCCACTCATGCGCTGTAAGTTCCCGCTCAGTCTGGGTCTGGCGCAATTCCCTGTGCTTGTCGCCTGTGTTCTGTGTGTTTTCAGAAGTCTTTGGATTTTATTTTGCAGTGTACCCTTTTCTCCCTCCATGGATTTTAACGCCTTCTTGACAGTCTGCACGTACCTTTCAGCCTGGCCATTTGAGAGGATGGTATGGTGCCGTTGTTCTGTGAATAATCCCACATTCATTCATGAAGTTTTTGAACTCTTGAGAAACAAACTGTCTTCCATTATCTGAAACTAGGATGTGAGGAAACCCAAAAGTTGAGAAGATTTTCCGTAATTCTTGGACTGTCCATGTACTTGTAGTTGTTTTCGTCTGTATCACATCCACCCACTTACTAAAGGCATCCACTAATATCAGGTACTGCTGGCCATCTGTTGGTCCTAAGAAATCAATGTGCACTATTCAGTGGTTATGTGTTCACAAGAGTCTAAGAGGAAAGCATCAGCATCGCAAAGCTTCATAAGAGATTTGTTTAGAAAGCATATAGTAACTAAAACTAAGCATACTGATAACAAACAATAACATTCTGCCTTGCTTCCGTAGCGACGACGCACGGTGTAGGGGCGGGTGGGGGAGTGGTATCTGGTGCCTGCGTGGGGAAATAAAATCTCAGTAGATACGGCTCTTCACGCACAGCTCAGAAGGCTACAGTACAATAACAACTTAATGATAATTTGTTCGTTTGTTGTGTTATGATTATGATTTATTAGTTACTATTTCCTGATTCTGACCGGCCAGAGACAGCCTCATTTGGGTAGATTTTTGGAGTTCTTTTAAACATGATTACACCTCTGGAATGCCTGAAAACGCTAGTTTGGAGTTCTAATTTTTCAAAATATTCCATACCCCCCAGTCCCCCGGTATTGGGTCTCCACCATCCCCCCCCCCCCCCCCCCCCAAAGCCATGTTCTAGTTACGCCACTGACAGGATCCAAGTTTTAAAATCATTTACCACCATTACTTATAGACACACATATAGGTAGACAAAAAACATTTCAGAAATAATGTAAAAAACTTTTTAGACAAGAAAAGTTGTTACTCTCTAGGAGATTATTTTAAGAATAGGCCTAGACAGATATAAAGATTGATGTACTTTAGCACAATTTTGAGCCAGTTACTCATCAAAATTATTTGTAGTAGAATACCTTTTTACAGAAGAATCTTTTCTATTTTATGTACAATTTTATGCCTATGTACAATATTAATAAAGAGATTTCGATATGATACAATTTTTTCTATCCATTTGACGGTTTTTTTTATGTATTTCTTTTAAACACTTTGGTTTTTAGAGTTTCGTTGCTATCAGCAAACCAGTTGATATTTCATGATCTATTAAAAATCCGATTCCCTCATAGGCTACAATTTTGTAAAGTAACCCACCAATAAAAATCTTGAAATCTTAAATCTTGAATGGTTTATTTTTATTTCCCATGGTATCGGTCATGTTTGCTTACCTGACCACACCACGGCCGATCTATGTTGAATAATTGAAACTGTACAGTGGAACCTCAATAACAAGTCACCCTTGATAACAACAGTATCATTTTTATATCCCTTAGAATTTATTTTACCCTTAATCACATGTTATTGTAAACCTCGATAAGAAGACAACCTTGATAACAAGTCTTATTTTATATTCCCCATGAGAGTCTTGTTGTGTAGGTTCCACTGTACTTTATAAGACGATCCTTATAATAAACCCAATGTGGCACAACACTACCAACTGGCGCGGCTAGGGATAACGTTGTATTGTGCATGCTAATATAAACGCAGCTTTTAGTCAACCTTAAGAGTGATTTTAAATTTGGACCAATGAAAAACGTTGTGTAGTATGTAAACAAACTAGCTTTTACAAGATGCATAATCTTCGTCCCTATTTGTACAAACACACCTTTATATTGTGTATTAAAACACAAAAGACAACTTTTTATGCTAAACATTCATAAAAGTTATCTGATTTTTTGTGGCACACTATACAACTTGTTACATTGTTTAGTGAATCCATGAGCTACTTTTAGCAAAGTTTTTTTTTCAGGCTCTGGAGGACCACTCTTTTGTCAAGAGATACAAGCAAACGTATGTGACAAAAAAATTGGACTGCCCAGCTAAATTTCATGTCTCCAGAGTAATAATGATGCCAGAACACAAAGTAAGTATCCAAGTGAGTCACAATTTGCGATTTGTGGTAGGCCTAATTAAATTGATCCACTCGGCCCAGTGTAAACTAAAAAAAAAAAAATCACTTGAATCAGTGAAAAGGCTAAAAATCACTTGTTTATTTTATTATTAGCTACTTTACTTTGGTGTAACCTACTTTTCTCCTTATTTAGTGCACTAGCTTTGATTATTGATAGAACTATACATTCCATTTCCATGTTAAAATGTGTCACATTCTTTTACAATTAGCCTCTTTTAGCGAATTTCCCTACAGGGAAGTAGCTATTACCGTAAGTGGCATGGTAAGACCTAGGCCCGGGACCGATTTACTTTTTCTTTTTGGTGTTCTCAGAGGCCAAAAACACCATTCGTTCGAATTTTTATATTTTATGTATGTATATACTGTATATATACGATATATAATATATATATATATAGATTTATAAAAATCATAAACATATTTAACAAAGTACCCTTATATATATATATATATAGATTTATATATATATAAATATATATATGTGTGTGTGTGTGTGTGTGTGTCCGTGAACATGATAACTTGGGTAATTTTTGTCCGATTTTGATTAAATTTGGTTTAAAGGTGCAAGGCGGGATAAACTTGAATGAGTCTGCAAACCAGCATGATCAGACCATGGGAACAGGGATTTAAGGGGGGTTTTATGGGGTAAAAATTGATTTTTCTAATTTTTAACCCTGAAAACACACCTATAGACCTTTTTAAAGAGCTAAAAAAAATTTTTTGTATAAGTTATTGGAATGTTTTTGTACATTGATAATAAAAAAATTCAAAAAAATATAAATTTATGTTATTCTGTAAAATGTTGTAGCTTGCTTGTTTAAGGTTTTGATACAACTTGGCAAATTTATATTTTTTATATTTATACTAAGCTATTAATATTTCACTTAAAAACACACTATGTTAGTTTCCTTATAGCAGCAAACCTAGGTAGGCCTACTCATTAAACTTTTTAATAGATTTGATCGAAAATCAATTCAGAAAAATAGAAATTCGCTAAGTCGGTAGGTTTGCTGCGGCGGGGGTATTTTAAAGTAGTAATATATTATTTTTTTACCTTAATAGGATATAAAAGAATCATGAAACTAAATTATTTTCAAATACTTTTTTATTATTAAAAATTAAATGCAAAAAGTCCATAATGCTTTTAATAATCTAAATGATGTATTCTAACTAAGGCTACGATTATACTAGAAATCAATACGGGACGCTTTAAATCAAATGGGGGTGATTATAATAGGGATGCCAGTGCCGTATGCTTTAAAAGCAACTTTGTGAAGTTGTACATGGATGACAACGAACTGGAGATTTTTCCTTCGGATAAGTCCATCTACTTAAGATGAAATAGACTGAACAACAAATTCACATCGGTCAAAGCTAATCTACGTGAGTGGCGATTAACTTGTGATTTTCCCGCTGAAGAAGTCCATCTACCCAAGATGAGATAGACTGAGCGACAAATTCACATCGGTCGAAGTTAATCCCACAAATTTTATCACAAACCGATTTCACGTGGTCCGTTGTTGTCAACACACCCTGAACAAAACAATTAATTACTCGCGTGTGCTCGTACTACAGTCCGATTAAAACCACGTTCAACTCCCCGACCACTATTTTTTAATTGACTATGACTCGCTCAGGTCTCCTCCATCGACTAACTGACTTTACTTTTTTAATGTTCAAACAAATTGTTTTACTACCACGCTGCTAGTGGCCAATCTCCGAACTTTATTATTTAAATGCAATGTTGATAATGCAGATCGTTGCATAGTGCTGCGCTCTACAATTTAATTTTGAAACCATTCACCGTGGGACTTTGATCTACTCTACTTATCCACGACTTACTTATTACATATTTTGTTATCTTTTGTGTTTCCTTTGCCTCCGGATGGTATATTCTATTATTTCCGATTCCCAAGGCAAATATGTTAGAGTTGATATTTTATAGGTCAAATTAATTTGTATATAAATGTATAAATAGTAGTTTTAGTCCTCAATCCCCTGCTTCTTCTTTAAACTTAACAGTCAATACAAGACCCCCAATAAAGTAAAAACAAAATTAACAAACTAAATTCATTAAAGGTATTTCACCAAAACATACAGCATCTTAATTCAAGAATTAACACACGTAGAAGCAACTTTACATGAAGCACATGATTCGTTCCGATCGTCGGCAATTTCGCCACATCGTGAGTGACTAGGATAACATTTCCGCGATCCCAAAAATTATCATCCGTGCGTATTGTAGCTGACGATGATTGTGTCTCCACGATTGTGAGAGATGTTCACGATGATTCCGCCAACCCAGGAGACGATGATGATATCTCCCTGATCATGGAGATCTTCACGCTTGAACTGTGACCGTGAAGATGGCGCTGCGAACACGGGATATGTTAATGATCGCGCTACAACCTTGGAATATTTTAAAGATGGTGCCGTGACCGCTGGACATGTTGACGATGGTGCCGTGACCGCAGGAAATGTTGACGATGGTACCGTGATTGCAAGACATGTTGGCAATAGTGCTAGGATCACGCAACATGTTGACGATTGTGCCGTGACTGCGGGACATGTTGACCATTGTGCCGTGACCCCGACATATGATGATGGTACTGTGACTGCGAGACAGAAAAAGGTGTAGTAACATGAACGGACCAAGCTTTTGGTCGGGATTTAAAAAAACGGGGTAATGATAAAGTCTGGAAAAAGATGGGAATTCCATTTAAAGAATCTGGTAGACACTCTGAATATTGATAAAAGCAATCCTTTACCTACCTACTGAATAAAAAAGTATTTATTGTAGTATTTTTCTTTTCAGTTTCATGAGTCAGTTTCAAGGAGTTATCAGAAAACAAAGTTTTCAACTGTTTTGAGAAGAAAAATAGAAAATGGCGAAAGTTTGGGCGAAGAAGGCTTCATATTCAACTTGCCCACTATTCAACAGCATGCAAACCACTTGACTGGTGAAAGCGCTGCATTTACTGAACCGGTTGATAGAAGAGTAAGAGCCTACATTGATGAGCTAGTCATCAGAGGTGAACGGAATGCTGTAGTAATTTCAAAACTACTCAAGTCCTACGTTCAAAATGAACTTCAACAAAAAGACGAGCTCAGAAGAAGATTTTATCCAAACATGAAAACAATTAGAAAATTAGTGTCATCATCAAAATTAAAACTGAGGAAGAGTCCAATTTTTCAGCAAAACACAGACTTACTAGTTGAAAGTTTAAATAACAATGATCTGGTATGCTTCAGGCCCAGCACCCCAGGTATACCATCTCAGTACATTTTGCTACACTCGGTATTTTGAAGTCCAATCAGAGGGCAGGTCGATTTGGAACATGCAGTAATTCTCTTTGCCAAAACACTCCATAATTCGAAGGGAGGTATTCCTTCCTGTCATAACGGGAATCTATACATCCCATTATTACAGTAGTGTGTCTTAAATAATGTCTTTGATGACACAAGAACCAACAGCAAAAAGCAAACAAAAAAGTGTGGTTTTTTTCTAAGACTGAAATGTTATTCAACTGAAAAATTATTATTGTTAGCTGTACAATGAGGCAACTCACTATCTTAGTCTTAATCTATCCCATTTTGCAACTAAAAATCAAATTATATCAGTTGTTTTTTATATGATCTTTTTGAACTTGATAGGAAATTTTAAATGCTAATTAAAAGTGTTCTTGACATTTGTTTAATTAAATCAGCAATTTTTTTTATCATGGTAACTTTTGTTCCAGACATGGGTCTCTTATGTCTTAATATATATACTAAGTTTCATAAAGATCAATGTAACAATCCAAAGATAAAAATGTTTGTATGTAAAAAAAAATACAAAATGGCGTGTATCTGGTTAGTTAAGCAATTTAGGAAAAGTTTTTATCTTTATGTTCTCTTTATTTTGACCCAAGGAATCACTACATAAATAATGTTCCCACCTTTTTTGAACACCCTGTATACAGGGTGTTTGAAACGGGTGTGGACAGACATAATTGACTATCTCACAGTAATTTGACTCTTCCTATAAAATATTTGTATCTCAGCAAACTGTGGTATTATCATCAGTAGTATTATCATCCTTTAACATGAAAGATGTTTGTTGTCACCCAATTGTCCCTTCAATAGGGATGGACGAGATTGGATTTTTTGTTCGAGACGAGACAGGATTTTTTATTTCTCATAACATTTTGAGACATACATAAATGTAAACTTTCTCTGTATTATTTTATCAGTGGTCATCAACCGAAGTTTTTCCTTTGTACTGTGTTTAGGTTGTGTCTTGATTTTAACATATGCTATGATTCTTTGTTTTGTTTACATTTACATTTTGTAACCATCATGGCAACCCATAAGCCCAATGTTAAAATTTGAAAACTTTGAGTCACTTTAAAATTACATAGGCATTATCAAAAATTGAAATTGGTTACGTCTAAACCATCCAATTATTTGATTAAACAACCTTGGTAAGTTTGGCTAAAATATGTTCAGCCGTTATTGAGATTAAGTGCTATAAAGATTGCATCGAAGTTGATCCCAAAGAGCTTCGCTTCGCTCCGCTCAATAAATCTCATTCTTGTTATATTTTTGTAGGATTTCATAATTTTAAATTTGAACCATCCGTTTTAGAAATATCAACAAATGCACCCATAAAGTTAATTAAACATCACTAATTAAATAAAAACTTTGTCTTGCCTATCATATTTTTAGAAAAGAAAGTTAATTTAGTTTTTTATTGATTTTTTTATTTCAGAAAATACTATGGAGAATGCTGAAAATTCCAGTCCGCAATATGAAGAATTGCCTAAACAAAGTAGCAAAAGGATGAAGCTAACTAACAAAAACAACGCATTGTTGAAATCGCTCCAATCTATGCTTCAGTATCTTGGGGAGAACATGTTGGAGAATCTACACAATTCATTAGAAGAACTCATTAACAAGTATTCTTCTAGAATTAAATCTGTTAAAATAAATAGGTTGCCAGTAGAAGTTAAAGCCAACACCTGTGTAAAAGAGAAGAAGCTGGAACTTGGTGAAAAAGAACCAACTGATGGTGTATGCTTACTTGCGGATAATATGAAGGATTCTCAACAGTTGGTGTTTGAAGATGACATTTGTGTTTTGGTATCAGGAAAAGTTCAAATGTAATAACGTAATAAATGTTTCATGTTTGAATTGTCTGAATCAGTTCCATCTAGCATGAAAGTGATTTTAATTTGGCTCATAAGTGTCTCATACATAAGTTTTAAATTTTTATAGTCTCATCAAGATTTTTTAACACTATTTTTGAACATAAACAATAACTGATATCCCACACAAGTTGAATTCAAACCTTTTTTAAAGCCATAATCAGTATTTTACTCCTGTAGGTACCACCAACATGTTAGGTTTGACCTTTTACTTTTTAGATAGTTGGTAATGTGTGTCACAATTAATAGGTATCCGCAACAGCTACCTAGTGATATTCAGAACGGATGTTGTTATATTTTTAAGCTCTACAGTTTAAAAGTGTGCTTGTAATTTTGACTTATGTTGCACAGGGGCCCGTTGTGTAGTTGTAGTAGTCTTCAGGTTTGCTGTAGCGGGGATATTTATAATATTTCTTGATTTTGATTAGTCGATATCGCCTATACCTGTTTTTAGAGTATATCTGGAAAAAGTATAATATCAGTCTGGAAAACCTGGAGAAGTCAGGGAATTTTATTTTCCAAATTTAGTAGCAACCCTGAAAACCCACATCTATTCCTTAAAAATGTAAGGACCCATACCTAAATCAAATACCCCCGCCGCAGCAACTTCGCAGACTAAGCGAATTTCAAGTTGTCTGATTACATTTTTACTAAATATTTCCATAAATAAGACATATTTACAGTATTCCAAATTTAAATAAACATTAGATTTAACGAGTGGTTAGGTTTGCTGCTATGGGGAAGGTAAAAAGTGTTTTTGCCCATACGTCAATAGTATAGGATGAAATAAATAAATTTGCCAAATTTTATCGATATATATCCATAAACAAGTAAACTACAACAATTTTCATTTTGTCCATAAAAATAACATGGGAATTTTAAATTACACTATTTTTGAATTTTCTCTGTGACCGTTAGGCATACAGCGCTTCAATATACTAAATTATATCTTTTTTAAGCTCTACAAAACGGTTTAAAAAGAAATTGCAAAAATTTTTGATTTTAGGGTAAAAAATGGGAAAACCCCATTTTTACCCTGTAAGGCCCCCCATAAACCCCCGTTCCCATGGTCCGATTATGCTGGTTTGCAAACTCGTTTGAACAAATTTAATAAAAATTGGATAAATTTTTCTCGAGTTATCGCGCTAACAGACACATATCTTACTAATCTTACTAATATTATAAATGTGAAAGTTTGTGTATTTGTTTGTTTGAAGTTCAATCACGCATTAACTACTGGACGGATTGGGCTGAAATTTGGCATGATGATAGCTCACATTCCCGATTAACATATAAGCATATTCTTATCTCAACTCAAATCCATCTTGGATCCGCCGTTTTGAAATGTGATAAATTAATTTAAATATGAAGGCGGTGTTGTGACCTATAATTTTTAACTTCTTTTTTATATTGAACTCAATGCCGCAATCCGTTTTTGGTTATCAAGCTTTCTTGGTGAAATATTAATATTCTCTTTTTCAATATTTTAAAAACCAAAGATGCAAATGAAAAACGGATTGCGGCATTAAGTTCAACATGAAAAAGTAGCTCGAAATGATGGGTCACAACACCACCTTCATATTTAAATTAATTCATCTCATATCAAAATGGATGATCTAAGATGGCGGCCGAAAAAATTAAATCTGTCATAACCAAGTGAAAATAGGTCGACAATGAATGATGGTGTATACTTATCGTTATCTAGCACTATTTTGAGATTATGGTCTTAGTTTGTAAATGCACAATGTTAAAATGGGCTAAAAATAAAGTTGTAAAAAGTCCTCATAACTTTAGAACGGATCAAGATTTTTAAAAACTAATTGCGGCATTGTAATCAGCGTAAAATTCTAGTTTAAAATAATGGGTCACAACCCTACCTTTACATTTGAAAAAAAACGTATCTAATATGGCGGATCCAAGATGGCGGCCAAAAATGTATACCTAGTCAAAATGAAGTACTTACCACTCTACAATGATCTGATGTAGTCCGGAGATGATATCTTAAGCACGGGTCACACTAGGCTGGCATCAGCGGCGAATTGAAAGAAGCCGCGACTGTCAGCTTAATGTGACCACAAAATTCGCAGCTGACACTGAGCTGACACAGCCTTGATTGGTGAGCCGGTGATGCTGGCGCCAGCTGCTGATCACCATCGGCTGACGAGTAGCCTAGTGTGACCCGTGCTTTAGGAAATGTAGAAAAAAAGTAGGGGGGGGGAACTCATTTTAAACTCACCCTGTAGATTTGCCGACAGCTTCATAATTGATGGGACTGCCTCAATGATCTTATACCGAGTAGGCCTATTATTACACATTGCTTCTTACCATTAGAATAGCCCAAAGTTAAAGTTGATGTGATGGCTTAGGAGAAAAAAATGTGCACTTTTTCCTGTCACGCGTGCTCATTTACCAGATATGGATTTGCCTACAGCTTAGAAATTTATGGAACTGCCTCTATGATACTCAAACCGAGTACCTATTCTACTATTTGCATTTTGTCAAAAGTATTTTACGCCACTCTGCCTTAGCTCACCTTGCTTAAGCACGGGTCACACTAGGCTGTACGCCAGCCGCTGGTGATCAGCTGCTGGCACCAGCATCACCGGTTCACCAATCCAGGCTGAGTCAGCTCAGTGTCAGCTGCGAATTTTGTGGTCACATCAAGCTGACAGTAGCAGCTTCTTTCAATTCGCCGCTGATACCAGCCTAGTGTGACCCGTGCTTTAGCTGCACAATGGGCTTACAGTAGAACACCTGATTATAGAATGTCCGGCACATGAATCCGCCAGGAATAGATTTTTTAAATCAACACAGAAGATAATACAGAAATGTAACAGCTCCAACTATCTGCAAGATATTCTCAAAACTAACCATAATATATCAAGAAATCATAGATTTTCATATACATAAAGAGAAAAATTTAGACCAAAAACAAAACCAAAAACTCACATTCATTGCAATCCTTGGGTTCTTCATCCATATTCCATGGGCCTCCTTTTCGGGATACCTTGACAGCCCTCAAGCGAAAAGACTCAACCCAAACCCTTCTCCCAACTATCCCATCAAGGCCTAAGAACCTACTAAATCCCATCTATTAACAGGACACAACAAAAAACAAAAACCAAAATTAAATAAGCCACCAAACTAAAACAAACCCCTAAAAAATACTGACAAAAATTTTCCAAATACTAATGAAAATCGCAGAATTGTCAAATAAATTACTGTAGTGCACAGCGAGGCTGCATACAATATAAGTATGCTGTCGAGCAAACAAGATAAAAAAATGTTCATCTTGGTTGTTTGTTTTTAATGTTTTGTTTGTGATTGTGTGTGATTGTCAATCGTCAATGTCATTAGTCATTCATTGTCAGCTTGAGCTTTGCTTTAGCTAGTTTTCTTTGGTTAAGTGTAAATAATTAAGAAAGGATAGGCTACTCTGTTTTCAACAATGTTTTTAACTCTAGCACTACTTGCAAAAAAAGCCAAAGCCAAGTAAGTTTTACTGTCTATACAGGGTGCTTATAAAAGAATGCCGGGATTTTAAACGGTCGTTGCTCGGGGACTAGTCAAGATAATTAAATGATTTAAACGTCAAATTGAAGGGGAAAAACAAACAGTTTTTTCTCATTCTTAGGCTAGATACAATTCGGAACAATTTAATACGCAGAGCATACGCGTCCGGTAACCGGACGTGGATTAGGCGTCCGGCAGTTACTGTCATAACCTAACCTAACCAACCAAACTTGCTGATAACGAAAAAATCGTTCATGAAAAAAATTCTGTTCATAAAATAAAATTATAAATGCAAAAAATCCTAACAAAAGATGCACAGTTAAGAAGAAATGGCATTTAAAGCAAAATCTTTGACGAAAAGTTTAAGTTAGGTACCGATGGGAATCGAACCCGGGACCTCTTGCATATCAGCTGAGCATTCTATCCACTTCACCACGAGCACCGATGGCTATACATTGTATCGTTGTAGACGGTAGCCCCCACAACCCGGTGACGTCACTGCAGGACGCCAAATCCACATACGGTTACCGGACGCATATCCTCTGTGAATTTAATAAAATTCAGGTTTTCATCAATCTTATATGAGTGTAAAACTGGCTAAGTATGTACGTTCAGGGCGATAGGCGGGTTTATGTGATGTCTTAACTGAATCTTTAAAGACTAGGCTAGGCCTACCTAAGTATCTTTTACAGATAACATCATAAAGTGTTGATTTAGGTATGTTCAACTGAGGACTTGTCGGGCAATCGATTTTTTGGAGCTTCTGGTGCAGAATTGTCACATTTCTTTGACGATGTCATTACTTGTTTTTAGCCGGCCAGGTGAATGTCTTCAATGTCTTCTGTTGCGCCGTAAACATCGTACTGGCGACTGGCGTCAATAGTATCCAAGCAATTACAATTTTAAATCCCGACATTCTTTTAAAAACACCATGTATTAATAATGTCGGTCTTTTAATTATTCTTGTTAAACTTACTTAAACATTAACTTATAGTTCATTATAGTCATTTTCTAGGTCTAAGTTTATATGGGTTTGATTTTGGCCTAAAGATTTGCTCTTTCTGTCTTAACAGATAGGCCTAACTAAGGTAGACTTCAAGATTATGTGAAAATAGTTTGATTCGACATATAAAGCTCCATACAAAAGAGAACTGTTACACGTGTATAACATGTGGAAAATCCTTTGCACAAAAAACCAATTCCAGAAAACTTGCTACTGAGTATGATCGTTTATGAAAGGCCTCATATCAGAGAGTTGGGGCTTAAAGAGTAATTAAATCAAGGGCCGCGGCTTCCAAAAAAAGCTAGTCTGAACTAAAAGTTTTGGAGGTTTAAAAAACCTCCAAAACTCAACTACCAGGCAAAAGAATATACATCTGTGACAAGGTATAATTTGAGCAGCTATGTTGGTACAAGTGTTATCAGTTATTCCAGTCGTCCACCCAACCTTTGCAGTGATAAAGTTCGATCAGTCGGTCGTCAGTTTTTAGCCGTGCACGTGCCTCAATGTTTTCGTGTCTTGTGTTGCATGTACTATTTATTAAACTTTGACGCAATGAAAATGAAGAAACCTCGTAAAAAATGTAAATATGTAAATAGGCCTAGTTCAGTTTAGTGTATGATGACTACGCACCCGACGATGGAGTTATCTCCGAAACGGCCGTAGTGCTCAATTAATCAGGATTGCGAAGACTGTAAGTAGCCTTTATATATAAGGTAGACTTGTTGATGTTGATGCTCTTAGCGGTGAATACAAAATATGCTAAGTTTGTTTAAGCCTAGATACTACTTAATTTACCTGGAACTTGGAACTGGAAGTCAAAATTTACCATGCTAAGCCTTAAAGGACACTTTCACACACAACAGTAAGTTTATCAAGGTCAAATATACCAGAAACAAATTTTGGTAATGGAAAAGAGGTTATTATTAGGCCTAAGGTAAAGCCGCGTTTACACCGGAGTTTCAAACAAAAAGTTGCAAACTTTTATTGCAAACAGCAGTTGCAAACAGTAGTTTCAAATAAAAGTTTGCAATTTTTATTTCATGGTTTTGTTTCCATGTTTTATGAAAATGTTTGAAATACTTTCGACCTTGATTATGACTCGCCTCGGTCTGGTTCCTCGGATCAGTCCTTCCGAGGATGTCAAGGGTCGAGGATGTTATTTGCCCTTTTTAGATTATCTGTTAAATTGAATTATGAGGTTCCTCATTTTATTTTGGACGTCTGCCTTGCTTAAGTTCATTTCCGGTGAAATGTCATTCCACGCATAGTTTTTCTTGTTTTTGTTTTTATAGTCAGAAATACTTTCATTCCACAGCACTTGCTGTTCTATGTACAAACTAATTAACTTAATAATATTGTCATCTCTCCATTCCATCTCAATAAGTAGATTTTCCATCACTCACAACTCGCACGACACGAGACAAGTCACAACAAACACGAGGTAGCTAGTAGCAGCGTAGCAGTCCAGACAGGGTTAATAACACTGAGTCGAGACACAGGGTGGTGCTAGTGATCACGTGAGTGAAAGTGGAGGTGGCAGCGTAGGGGATGGCGGAGAAATGTTTCTGTTTCGTGTTTCAACGGCTCATAGTGACAGAAACTAGTGTTGCAAACAAAGAGTTTGCAACTCCCTTTGATCATTACCGACTTCAAGTGGAAACAAAAATTTCTTTTGCAAACACTGAAAAACTGTTTGCAACAGCAAAATGTTTTGTCTAAAAATGCGCGTTTTTAGAGGTGTTTGCAACTCGTGTTTCAAACTCCGGTGTAAACGCGGCTTAAGTTATTAAAATGAAAAACCACTCACGTCAAAATCGATTGATGGTCGTTTTCCGGAAAAATACGGCTGCAAAGCGTAATACTGAGGCCTATATGGACACGAGATAAAGGACACTTTTACACACATGACAGTATCACACCATGGTACCATTATTATGAGGTCATATAATAAGGAACGAATTTTGGTCATTCCAAAGGGTCATACAACATGACAATTTGCGCACGCCAAAATCTATTGATGGCCCTATTGCGGAAGAATACGGCCGCGCAGTGTAATACCTAACTTATATGGTCACGAGAAAAAGGACACTTTCACGCACATAGATCAGTTTGTCATTTTAAGCGCCTTTTGTATAACCAAAATTCATTCGTGGATAATACCTTGATAGGTACTGTCGTGTGCGTAAAAGTATTCTTTATCTCGTGACCATATAACTTAGACACTATAGGCTAGTTGTATTAGTTTTAGTTAAATTATTTGTTCTCTTTTATTATTGTATTGCAGACTTTGTACCTGACTTGAGTTGTTTTGAAAAGCAGTGTATTTATGTACTAAAAACCGCTTCAAATAAAAGACGTTTCTATTCTATTCTATTCTATTCTAAATAAAATGAAATTTACTTTGTTATTGCCTGATCAAGGCAACTTGTTTTCTATTAGAGAGGAGCCTCCTCTTACAGTGATGATATCAGTTAGTTTACAATGCATCGGGCTCAGTGCTCAGTTCATTTAATGGTGCTTCCAAAAATCCTTCCCAGTCAACTTGTATTTTTCATAAAAGTCCATCCATGAGAAGAGAGCCAAATTTTTGCTTGTAACACCACACTCCTCAGTTGAGATTACTGTAGAGATGTGCTCACAACTGTGAGGAACCGATTTGAAAGTAGCTCCACACAAACAGCTGCAGTGTTTTTGTAAACTTTGAAAGATAAGTTCCGGAACTGGATTCAGGCCTGCGGTTAGTGTGTGATGCGCTGTGCACACAAGAGGTAGTTGCGCCACCCCCCCCCCCCTCCACGCCAACATTGATTTGAATAATAAAATGAAAATAGGCATTTTACGAGTTGCACGCGCATCTGCAATAGGCTATAACAAGGATAAGGCTCATTATATTGTGTTTACTTTTGATTCTTAATAAAATTACACGCATAGTGAAGTAAAAACGTAATCCATCAAATAGTTAAGTAAAAACGAAATCCATCAAATAGTAAAGTAAAAACGTAATCCATCATTCAAATATTAAATGAGTCGAACTTTTACTTACATAGCTAACATACACATTTATATTTCCAAGGGTATATTTTTTTTGTGGAGTAATAATAAAAGTGTGTTGTATAATACTTTCATGGAAATTAAAGGTAAATTATTTTTAGCATATTTACAAATAACTTTTAATTAAACTTCAGTATGCAATGATTACAATCAGGCCTATATTAGGCTCGCTCTCGTTTTGACACTTTGGGACTGAATCCCTTGCTAGGACTAAATAAATCGGATCGTCAGAAATTAATACAAAAAAAGGAACACACCTACATTATGTGTGCAATTTTGATTGTAAACAGACTCCTGTACATATTAGCCAAACAAATCATTTCAAAAATATTTTCTGTTACGAGCAAATACAATTCATTGGCTCTAAAAAAAGAGGAGTGTTTCTTCCAAATTAAAAACCTAAAAACTACACATTTTCAGGCACATAATGGTGGAAATGGTGAGCTTAGTAAGCGGCCATAAAACGTTCGCTGTTCGAGAGAGGCTTGGAGATAAACTAGAGTATATAAGATTTGATCCAAGAAGTAAGTATCCTAAACTAGTTTTAGCCTATAAAACTTACAATATAATTAGGCCTATGATATATTTTTTTTAATTCTAACCCTTTGAGCTTCGTGAATTAAAAAAAAATCTGATTCATTTTTTTATAATATTCCCCTCTTTTTATGAACACAAGAGTCAAAGTAATTAAGAAACAAGATTTCAGACTATATGCACACACGCGGCACTGTGCTAATAAGAAAAGTAGTACCGTACTGTACAACAATCCAATGTTTTGACGTACAACTCACGAAGAGTCAAACATCCATCATTCCATCCGAACACCAACATTTGTTTTGTTGTGGGCCTCTCAGTATTTAAACCCTCAATCTCCCAGATGGAGAGACACTGCTGCCTAGACCAAGGCTACTAAAGAAGGTTACCAAAGAAGCACATACGCCGTCACATCATACCATGGCCACAATGTCAAAACCGGTGTGTTTGGTTGATTGTTGTTGGGTGACTTAGACGGTGCTTCTTTTAATACACATAGCTACCACTTGATGTTGTTGGTTTTTTGTGTACGTTCAAAGCAATAAAGTAATTTATATTTCTAGATTTTTGTTTTTAATTTTATGTCAACTGGGTCAACTGGTGAGTGATATGTCCAGTGAGGTTGCAAGGTGAGATGAGATGAATGACACAACAATGCCAGATGAATGACATGAAACGAATAACAAGATGTGTTTTGAACCTAGTTATTTTATCTGTTACCAAATTAGGATTTTTAGTTACACGTTTAGTTCACAGTATTCATTTTTTGGGGTATTCATCTCATCCTTAGGGAATCCACGATAAGAGTATTTTAGGCCAAGGTAAATTGTTACAGACTGCAACAGCACATCGCTCACCATTTCAATGAATCGCTTTGGTCAGACCAAACTGTCTTACCACTTTAGTCAACTTAAACATAGTAGTTATCAATCAATTTTCTTTATTGAGATATCTTTAACACGTTCGCTACTGAGCGTCGCATATATGCGACGCCGCGGTCATTGCCACAGACCGAGGCATATGTTTGAATCTAACACTCAGACCGGCTGTCACTTGGATAACAATACACACAGACCACGGGCGAAAACCTGTAAAACAGTGATCATTTACATTGTAACACGCTACAATTGTGTTTGTAAATAATGTATTCTTGTTTTTTTTGTATTATTAATAACCTTTTGTAATGTCCCATATTTGCGACGCCCGGTCTACAGCGAAGACAATAGTGAAAATTATCATAAATAGACCAAGTGTCGCACATATGCGACAGTTCATTTTTTGTGTTTTGAGGTGAAAGTAAGTAAAATAAAAAACAGATTGATCAAGAACAGTTTATTACTGAACAAATATAAAAGCTACATAGGATAATGCAGCATACATACTGCATAAATACATACAGTGATGCAGAAAAGTAAAGACCAGTTTTTCCAACTATCATATGACGTCACCAATCATCATATCCACAGACCAAGCGACGCAGTTGTACGTCAGACATCTCTGTAGACCACTGCAGGGAATTCAGTGCCTTCAAATAGACCGTTACAAAGATATAAGCATTTTAATAACATTAGGATCCCGACGCAAATATGCGATGGCAGTCTATTTTAATGTGACTAGCCGATGCATATATGCGACAGCAGTCTATGGGTGGAACCCGGCCGACACATATGTGCGTCGCTGGTCCACGTGAATGAAAAATTTCGTACTATTGCAGTAGCGAACGTGTTAAGAAAGAAATGAAATCTAGGTAAGTTAGTGTCATATACATAGATTGTAATTTGAATTTTCATCTTGCTTAACAATTTCCATCAAAAAATTACTTTAGTGAGTAGAATGGTAGATCCATTAGCCAGGCTTTGAGTTTCCTCTTCAGGTCTTGATTTCTTAAGATTGATTAAGTGGTTGGGCAGGCTATTGACGACCTTTCGTGCCATGTAGGTAGGCTTCCTGCTGTAATGAGTTGTATAGTGAGCTGGGAGAGGGTAGTCTGTAGCTCTTCGAGTGTTGTGAGAGTGAGAATCTTTTCCTCTTGTAAGCTTACTCTGTTCAGTACAGTATAGTTAATCACTGCAAGGATGTATAGTGATATCACAGTCACGATTTTTAGTGATTTATAAGCTTCCCTGCAGCTTTCTGTTGCTTACAGGTTGCAGCACATTTCAATTAATTATAGATTTCAGCAGTATTGAATAAATATAGTTGCAAGTGTAAACTCTAGGTTATGTTACTTTTGTGTCTGATATTGAAGTAAATTTAAATTGATTTCTACCTACGAGGTAAGTTTTTTAAGTAAGGGCCATTTTAAAATTTCTTCGTTCCAGCACTGCGATTGGCATTTTCGACATTTGCGCTGTGTATGTGCATCTATTGGTAAGACATAGCCGGAAATTCGAGAAAAATCGGCCGTGTTTACATCCGGTTTCAAGCATTCAAAATGGTGCCGCCAATTGAGACTGCCGCCGACTGTGAAGTGCGCGCTGTAATTAGATTTTTAAGAGCTTAAGGTGTGAAAGCCATTAAAAATCATCGACAGATTAGTGAAGTGTATGGCGAGAACATTATGAGTGTCATAATTGTATGCAAGTGGATATGGGAATTGAAATACGGTACCACGAACGTTCATAATGAGTAACGCACTGGGCGGCGTCATTACTGTTCCCGTACCCAGTGCCTTGCTCATCATGAACGTTGGTGGGGCCGTCTTAAAATGTCCTTACCTACTTGCGTACCATTCCGTCACTCATAATGTTCTCGCCATACACTTCACTAATCTGTCGATGATATTCAATAGCTTTCACACCTTTAGCTCTTAAAAATCTAATTACAGCGCTCACTTCACAGTCGGCGGCAGTCTCAATTGGCGGCACCATTTTGAATGCTCGAAACCGGATGTAAACACGGCCAATTTTTCTCGAATTTCCGGCTATGTCTTACCAATAGATGCACATACACAGCGCAAATGTCGAAAATGCCATTCGCAGTGCTGGAACGAAGAAATTTAAAAACGGTCCTTACTTAAAAAACGTGCCTAGTATAATTAGGAAAGGTAGCCTAAATTAATTTTTGTTTGTTTTTGTAACCTAAGTATGAAAATATTTTATAACTTGTGAAATTTTCAAGATCATATTTTATTGTTTCAGTACAACAAGATTCAGTTTACAAAGAGGCTGGAAAAATTAAAAGTATGAAACCAAAATACAAGCCATACGACTACCCTAACCCAAGACCCATCTCTCGATTTCAAATACAATAACATGTCAATGGGAATGTGTGTAGATAAAAAGTCATTGTTGTAAATATAAATTTATAGTACTGGTGTAGCATTGTTATTTTTTACATTTCCAGTGATACGACTTTAAATTTATTTTTCATTATAAGTCCTTCATTTCTAGACTTTTTCGCTTAACATATTTGAGAGGCTCTCAGTCAAAAAAAGGTTGTTGAATCTCAGGTCTTAAAAAGATGACTGCGTTGTTTAACCGGCAAAAATACTGGCTGATGTTTCAGATTGTTAAAACTATCCATCCCTGAGGCAAACTACAATCCAACTTAGAGAATGTCAAAGATGTTCATATACCATCCTAGAAATGGATGGCCAGTATTTTTGCCAGTTAAACCACTCGGTCATCTCTGAGACCAAGTTTGGACAGTATACATTAAAATAGTCACTATCCCATCAATAATTTGTATGTTGGTTGTTCACCTTGTGTTTGCTTGAAACTCGTTAGATTCGAATAACTAATTGCTTAAATGAAAGCCGGTATTTCACTGAAGGTTCTTAGACCAAAATATATAGGATTATATAACTATAATTGGTGAAATGCATCTTAAATTGAAGAACTTGAAAATGAATCAAATTATGTTTTTTGGTTGGCAAATATAGCTTTAGCTTAAACATCAAACATATTTAAAAATAACCAGAAACAAAACGATGAAGGAACTTAAATTAAGGTGGTTTGTTCTTAAATAGAGACAAAGAAAGCAAATAATTTATCATACGGGTATACCTATAATGATGTATAGCCTGAAACAAGCCTCCTTAGTTAATTTTATTTCTAATACTTAAACAAGGTACTTTGGCAATCACTAAGAGTAAGACATAACCTCAATCTGACAATCTCTACGGAGCTGACAATTTACCTCAGTTTCTCGAAATATGGCAGATTAAGTTGAGATTCAGATTAGCTGAGAAAAGGATCCATCCAGAATTGATGTCATCTGTATTTTGTGCGGTGTTGCCACTAAACTAGGGATCACTAACTCACTTCTCAACTGTAGGATTTCAAAAATACCAAATCCTGTTGTTGGTTGAGTTGAGTGTTAACGATTGACTCAACTCTCAACAGTCTCAACCATTACAAAAATAGGCAACCAATAAGCCATATAGGCCAGGTCCAATAAGGCAACAAGAGTTTCAATAAAAATGGAATTCTGCAAAGAAAATAGCAATACATTAGGTCTAAGATCAAACCGTACAACAAAAAAAGATGTATAAAATGTGACACTCATTTTATAAAACCTATTTTCATTTTTTACCTTTAAGGGTGTAATACATATTCTTTTGTCAATAATACAACATGATATGGAGGTTAACAAGAAAATTCTATGCACTATTCTATCACAAGCTTAAATTTGATTCCGAGTCAAAAATAAATTGCTTGGTATACACAGGTCATTAAAAAAGAAATCTGATATAATTTCTAATATGATTGGTGAACATAAAAAAAATAAAACTGTATAACAAACATAGTTCTGGAGCTCTTCGTTGGGTAGAAATAAGTCACAGATCATAAACATCTATATCATGCACCATACCATACTTACTTGATAAAACATCAGAAAATTTGAAAATATACAATAAGACAGGGTAGCTGTTTTCCATATACTAAAAATAGTATAATATTCTTATAAAGGCACTTTGTATCTATGAGCCTTGAATACAATGTAATATTTTCACATCTAGAATAATATTTACAGAAGTACTTACATAGTGGTAAAATGTTTGATCATAGATTATACTACTTAATACTGCTTAGAAAATTAAGTTTTGGCATTTCTATAATGCTACATATAGTTGTGAGTATTGACAATCAGAGACTTAGTGCCAATAGCTTACTTAAGTAAGCAGATTTCTTTTCTGCGAGAACTGTTCAGATGTTATAATTTGGTTTTCAAAAATATCTCACACTCGCCATTACATTTTTAACTATTCTCCATTCACAATATTAAGGTGGTTTTAGGGGAAGAAATCTGTCCCTCCAATTGATCACGCATTTAAAACAATTGCTCAACAGCTGAGGTTTGCCATAACTTCTAAAAGCTGCAGCATAATTAAGAAAAAAAGTGGCGTGGAACCTCCCCTCAAACCGCTTACGTTTTTTCACAGACTAAAGGAAGTGTTACCAATATTTTTCCAGTTACAGCGGAATCTTGATATGTATATAATGATAATCCTAAGGGTAACGACAGATTCAAATAAATTCCAAAACACAAAAGTTAGAATTAAAAAGTTCATTTTTGGAATTAATGAAACTCATCTTTAAATGGACAAGTTAGAGACAAAAATATTCTTTTAGAGATCAGGACGTTAACACGTTCGCTGCTACGGACGTTCCGGAACGTCAGCCGGGCCACGGCGCCAGGAGCTAAGAACGTTCCAGAACGTCACCGTTCATTGTTGTTTAACGTTGCTATGGATAAGCCAGCACGTCACAAGCGTTCTATATTTCTTTGCAGCTCGTGGGGACGTACTTTTCTGACAATAAAAAATATAGTTTCCCAAATCACCACCAGGGTCGTTTGGAACAGGGCTTTGTTTTACCTCTTTCCTGCTAGATAGCAACACTACTTTAACGACTGTAACCTGGGTAGTGCTGCTATCTATCAGAATCACTTAGTACTATATCCAAAGCCAGTTTTATTGCAGAACATTGCCATCCAGTATAACTACTGTTGTTTTTATTGTAATTCAGTGTATCGGTGGCAATGTCACGCAGCGGCCGAGCGTTAGTTCAGCAACTGGCGCCGTCCCGGCATCTAGCGCTCAGCAGCGAACGTGTTAACAAACTATTTATTGGCTAATAACATCAGTCAATCATCCACCAGTTCCAGTTATTTTTTGATGATTTGACTATTACATTTTTTTAGTTGTGTCAAGATAGCATCAGTTATATATACTACAGAATTTTGTCCACTACTGTACAACTTTGATTTTATTAAGGTAACCAAAACTTTTACTGAAAAGTGAAAAACTTATATAAAACCGTCAAATTTTAGAGGTACCGGTAGTATCTCAAAGGATCCAATAGCTTTGATTTATCTTTTTCAACCTTTCAATTCATAGAGGTAACACAACATGTTGTAGAATCAAGGATTCAATTGAGATTTGATTTATTAAGGCTATCAGCCTTTTCTTTATTAGGTACTCTAGGTAATCGAGGCTCTATTTTATTTTATTGAGTGGATAAAAAAGCACAATGAAAACTATAATGGGTAAAATGAAAATGTCTTAATTAACACCAAAGTACCTACATAATTAATAATCCTAATGGAAATGTTATAATTCTAGTTTGTACTTATAGACATTGATCAAAATATACGTGGATCGAATAGACATTTTAGTTTTTCCCATGAATTATCTCCTTTTTGTGTATTTGGATTTAAGAATTATATCTTAAGTGAAATACTAAAGTAAACCTTAATTTAAAACCAGGTACATATTTCAAAACAAAACAAAAATTCACATTTAAAAGCTGCAATAGAAACATATAAAAACATTTAGTTTACACTCAATTACTTAAGATTTTAAAATTTCATACAAAACTAAATCACAAATTCAACATAGAAACATTTTCACTCTTACTTGTTTTACACACAGTTTCTTACTAGTTTTGTAGAAAAATATTTTAAAAAATAATCAAAATAAAAACTTAAAACAACAACTACCATATACCTTTATCTTACAAAGTTTCTCAAGATATTGAGCAGATTTTTTTATCATTGGCTTCTAGAAAAATTAAGACTTAAAAGTAGTGATGGGCCGATTCCAAGATTGTCAGATATTAACAATGTTACCGAGTGTTAATTTGAATTGTTATTTGACTCGAATATTTTTATTAACAGAACCACTTTTAAATTTTTAGATAGCTGATAAATTTTTCCTTAATTAGTCCATAACCAAGCCAGCTCCAGACATGCACCATTCTCAAAGGACAAAATATTTGACTTTCGGCGATCTAGTGGTCTTGCTATTCGCCGATTAACGAGGAGAAACTACACACATGTGTTGTTTTCCGAGCAACTGTTTGTTTCGAGAATAGCAAAAGTATTCGTTCACTTTGATGTGTGCAAAAATACTGACAATAAACGGGAAAACAAGAGCACGAATGTTTGCTGCTTGCCAAATAGACAAACCCCTATCCACACTATTCGCAATTTGGCGAGTTGCTGTTCGGTGCTTGGCGAATGGTGCATGTCTGGAGCCGCCTTTAGATGGTCAAAACCTTATTTGGGGGACAATTCTATTTATGATTTTTTTTCAGGATTTGAATATTTGGGTTTATTTTAGGATAATCTTGCACTATAATCTGCAAAATAAACCCTGATTGTGTAGGAGTGGATGGCAATTCCACTATGGTCACAGGAGACAAATAATGCTAAATTGTAGTAAAAAACTAAAGCCAATAAAATAGGTAACAACTAATATTCTGGAGATTAAGTATTGAATAATAAGTCACAAGTATAAAGAATCTGAATTGGCCCATTTCTATTATAAAAGCTTCAAAAAGCTGCCTTGCTAAGTGGTAACTTTCAATATTTTGCTTTCTTAAGACGATGTACTGTCATTTTCAACTGCAATAATAATGTAGTTTCCTTGTGACGTACAGCAAGTCTATCTAGGTCCAAAGGGTGGTAGGCATCATACCATTGACCGAGCTGGGGTTCGGAGTGAGGATCTCGTCTCGAAGAAAGTTCAACGGCAACATAACAAGATGGCCCTGAAACAATCAATGAATGTTGATAATTTATCCATGTTTTGCCTCCTGGATTGATAAAGAGTACTAATAATAGGTTAAATACCTTTTTTACCTCTTCAATCCTAGTCGTCTTTTTTATGATGACTATAGTTTCGGGGCAATCAGTCCCATTGTCAAATCTTCTGTCTTGTTAATAAAAGCATTGTTGATAACCATGGTTGATAAAGAATGTTGATAACCTCATTCATGGGGAATCAAAGGAACAGAGCTTACTTTAAATAAGTTTTACATCAAAACAATAAGCTTAGAAAGCAGTATTGTTCTACATAAGCAGCACCTGCCAGTGTCAATACCTTGATATCTTGCATGAGTTTCTCAGCAAACGAAGGATCAGTGCAGTGCAGAGGCATTTTGTCTTGGTAGAGGCGTAGTGTTTGAAAGTTGGTCACCTCATCACTGGGGATGCAGTTAAATACCTAAAACAAAGAGAATCCGTCAGGCTGGGTAGTCAAGGATAAAACCAAATTGTAATTAGAATATCACTCCATACCTTAGACTTAAAATCCTTACTCATTGTACTAACAATATTAATGCTTAAACAAACTAAATACAAATAGCTCCAAACAATTCTAGAGTCAATTAAAGAAACTTAATTTGTCAGTTCTTGCTGCAAACCACATCTTGGTGTAACAATTAACATCAGGTAAGGGTGTCTACCAGCGTCATGAATAAAACATTCAATTGACCTTATGCCATAAAATGTTCCTGTATAATGTGTAGTTTATCTGTTAGGGACAGTTATTGAATTTCAGAAAGAATTCATGAGTTGAATGGAATTTCATGAATTTCTCCAAGTAATGGGAGTGAAAATTTCTTTTTGTTTGGACTTCATTAATAGTTAGTAAAAAAATGTATACGATTTTCATTTTCTTCCCATTTTGAAGGATAAAAATCAAATTAACTGTTTTAAAATTTTGTTCGGACTTCATAAATAGTTAAGAGAAAAATGTATACGATTTTCATTATTTTCTTCCCATTTTGAAGGATAAATATAAAATAAACTGTTTTAAAGTACATATTTAATTTACATGAAATTGTTAAAATAGATAACAACAAGTACCTCTAAAGTAAAAATTGACTTATGAGACATCCTAGTGAAATCTGTTACTTATGTGGCCCCTCTAGTAAAATTAGTAAACCCTCCAGTTAACCAGTGATTAAGTGACCTCCTAGATTATCAGATGACTTCTGCAACACCCCCAGTAAAATAATTATTGTGTCTTGGTAGACACTTTGTAGTTCCAACTCCTCACCTTCTCGAATATCTCCGTATTAGTCTTGGCTGTGGTTCTCCAAACGTCATGGTAGAACTGAGGAGACACTGGGTCCCTGAGGTCCACAGAGCTGCTGCCTGGAGACAACAGTCCAAGATGTTCCTTGAACAGTCTCTGTCGAAGCTCTCCGCAGTAGAAACCTACCTTCACAGTCTCCTCACCCATCGTCACCTCCTCAAACTCTTCATCCTGTGAGGAACACATCAAACCATTAGTAAACCAAATGAATTAATGATGAACGTATTAGAACATTTAGACTATGGGAACAACAAAGTCTTCTGTTTAAGTATTTTGTAAAATTATATTTTGCCACATCTCTATAATAAAAAAAAATCCTGACACGATTACAGCTAAAATCAATGTGTTACTAAATAGCAACAAAGCCAGAATCTGAATTGTTCTCTTAATAAAAAAACTATCAAGTATTGGAAATAATTTATTTAAAAAAATCTAAGTTCTATTATAAATAAGTCTTCAGTTATTTCAAAATTTGACATTTTTTTAGGTCTTACTTCAGACCATCTTTGTTAGAAATCTACTGGATATCCTTAATTCCAGGTGTCTACAAGTCAATTTAGATAAATATCAAGAAATTGCAAGAAAGAATTATCTGTAATATGCTTAGATTATTTGTTACTATAATTTTGGAATCTTTATTTTTACTAGAACCATTGTTTTGTATAATAGGTCTATTAGTATCACTAGTTACTATAAATTGAGATAAGATAAAAGGTACCAAACAAAACACTGGGTAAGACCCCTTTCCTCTTTTTCACTTCCATCCCCCTTTTTCCTTAGAAAACAGTGATAAATCAGGGTAGCCTACATAGAAAAAAAGCATCAGTATTATTTGTTTAGTTATTTTCTTAAAAATAGTTACAATGGAAGAAATTAGTTATGCAAAGCTAAGTTCTAGAACACCTGCAATTCTGCTGTGCCTTGAGTTCTGATCTGAATAAATGTAACAAATAGTTTATCTATCTATTTGCAGCACTCATCTAAACAAAAACGTCAAAACTGAATATGCCATAAGACAAATATGTAATCATCATTTGCCCTTTACCTGTATTACAACTGCCACTTCAGAGTCCCGGCTACCCAACAGGCTTCTGTCGTTGATGTTGGCAGAACCACAGATGGCTGTTGTGTCGTCTGCGATCAACAGTTTTGAGTGAACGTATATCAACTCAGTCACCTGTCAAATCAATTTAAAGATGTATAACTAAGGGAACAATAATCTTGGTTTTATGAGGCACACACTGGTGTAATTTAAAAGTATAATTTAATGGATCAACTAATGTCAATCACAAATTATAGTAATCCAGCTGATGCACAGGGAGATATTTGTCTATTTGTTGATTCCACAGACATCAATTTAAATGTTTTTCCAAATTGCATATAGATTAATCTGTGCCAATTGTTTTTTGTTTTTCAAAATTAAAATAACAGTTTTGCTATAGGCCTGTTTGTTCTTTTGTTTTATTTTTTATGTTTTATCTTACATGCCATAACTTAGATCTTTGTAAATAATTGTATTACCTATGTAGCATTTTTGTAGAATAAACCATCCATTCTAGCATTCACATTGATTTTTCCCACTTTCACTTCCTAGAATGCTATGCTCTAGCTCTAGCTCGGGACTGTTTTACAAGTAGTAATGTGCGATACGAGTCAATGTATCGTAACAGAACCTTCGTGTATCTCTGTTCACCCGTATCGGAAGATCTATTTAAAACTTTAGATCTATTTAAATCATATTTAGGAAATAGATATCAGATGGTATCAGCCAACAATAAAACCTCTCAGTGGAAAGAAGTCACAGCAGGAGTACCCCAGGGTTCTGTACTTGGCCCTTTTTTGTTTTTAATTGCAATAAATGATCTTCCATCTAATCTTCCTTCAAAATCAGTACTGTATGCAGATGACACCTCCTTAATAGTCTCAAGCAAATCTTTGCAAGAGGTAAAAATTAAAACTGAGGAGATGAAAATAGCAGCCGATAGTTGGTTTAAGGCAAATAAATTTTCAGTAAACAATGACAAAACTGTTTCAATTATTTTTTCACAGACAAATCTTGTATCTGAAGTATCAAATGCTAAACTGCTAGGAATCATATTAGACTGTAAGTTATCTTGGCGTAGTCATACTGAAATGGTTGTTGCAAGGTTAAGTAACTCTTTGTTTCTGCTCAGGAGGTTGAAAAATCATGTTAGTTTAAGTACGTTAATTAATGTTTATTATGCATTCTTTCATTGTCACTTAGTTTATGGGGTAATTTTGTGGGGCAGTAGTAGTGGGGCAGTTAACGTTTTTAAAAAACAGAAAAAAGCAATCCGTATCCTAGCTGGCATAAAAAGTAGAGTTAGTTGTAAGACCTTTTTTCCTGAATACAAAATTCTTACTTTACCAAGTGTGTACATTTTGCAGAATATCATTTTTGTAAAAACAAATATTGAACAATTCTCATCTCGCTCATTAACTCACAATCATTACACCAGACTAAGGAATAATTTAGAGTTACCATCATTAAGACTGGCCTCAACACAGCGCAGCTATAAATATTTACAACTTAAACTTTTCAATGCCCTCCCTGAAAATGTACGCAACTTGCCTATTAAGTCACTGAAAAATGTATTGACCGATTTTTTGAACAGAAAGGTTATCTACTCTATCGAGGAATTTTTATCTTTCAAACATGATGATTTTCTGTAAAATTCTAATTGTTAAGTAGGGTATTGTTTCTAAAGTATGTAATAATGGTTTCATGAACTGTGATATAATAGTCTTTCATAATAATGTTATTTCTGTGAACTTTATTTAAAAATGTATTGTTATTTAGTTTTAAGCTGTATCTTACTGCCAATTTTAGCCTTAATTATTTTGTTATAGGCACTTACCCAACTTGTTTGCTTAACTATAAACAGTATTATTATCATCATTATCAATACATCTCAAATACTTTTGTACAAAAACCCAGTATTATTAGTTTATTAGTATAGCATGTTCATCTATTTACACTTGACTCTGTACATTGTACTTTGAATTGTATATTATCTCCATTGACCTGGCCTATTGTATGACATGTATACTTAATGGCAATAAACTATTTGAATTTGAATTTGAATTTGAAGATATCGTATCGTACTGGTTATGCTGTACAGAAAAAGTACATAGTGGTGGTGGGTAGGCCTACTTACACATTTAATAGTATAATATAGATAATGAGGGTGCCACCTCCAATAATTATGGCCCTAGTGTTGAGGTTATTTGCAAAACATAACTGAAAATACATGTTTTATCGGTGTTTTTGAGGACGGTAGAGTAAAATATCGAATTCCCACTACTACATTTGAGGGAGGAAGGGTTACTTACCTTAAAAATTAGATTACAAATAAATAAACAATTTGATATTCAATACGATATTGGTTATAGGTGTACCGATACGGGCATATCGATATGCTCCTACGTATTGATACCAAATATCGATCTTTTCCAGTCCTTTACGCACGTCAATAATTTACAAGTTACTTCAAGGGTTGGCCTGGAGTGTGGCAGCCTTATCACATTGAATTCTGTCAACCATTAACTAAACTAGAAGCCTAACAAGAAAGATCTTACTTTTTCAAGTGTACATAGTTGGAATTGCTTTGAGTCTATTATTAAAATTCAGCAAATTATTCTGCATATTGTTAATTGGTTTTCAAATTTCACTCTGTCAATAATATTGTATTATTATTTATATAACACAAAGAGCTTATTCTTTATTTTCAAAATTCCATTAAAAAAAAAGTGGTTAGATAGAAAGAGTAAGATTATTTTGACATGAGAGAATTTGAAGAAAAATATAGTTGATGTTGATAGTGATAAAGGAGGATGAACGCCAAGAAGATGGAAGGAGGTGAAGAGTGGTGTGGAGAAGAGATGAGTGGGATGGCAGATGGAGAAGGAAAATGAACTAGGGAAAGATAGTAAAAGGTAAAGAGGCCTAGTTGATGCCCAGACCCGGGAATTAATGGTTTTAAAACCACAACTTCTGTTAACTAATTTTACAGAACTTATCATAGGGTATTTTTAACTGTGTGTACACATACCAATTCTCCATTAAGTTCAGAATGTGTCCTAAGTCCGTGAAAAGTGATGAATTCTGAAGGATCAGGGACTCCGGCTTCTTTCAGACGAACCATCAAAGAATCTTTCCCTCTGTATAACAGATTTTGAGTAAGGCCCTCAAACTAATTGTATTTTTATAGGCTTAAATGGCCTTTAATAGCTTTTAAAGATGCAACTCATTTCAAAGCATCAACTATCTTAGTATAAAAACTGTAAGAGAAAAAAATACCCCCGCTGCAGCAAGCCAATTTCCATTTGTCCAGCATAAAATTTCCAGTTCAGCATAAAAAAGTAGTTCATAATGATGGGTCACAACACCATCTTCATATTTAAAATAATTAATCACATTTCAAAATGGCGGATCCAAGATGGCGGCCGATAAAATACATCAGTCATAACCAAGTAAATAAAGGTCGACAATGAATGGTGGTGTATACTTATCTTTATCTAGCACTATTTTGATATAATGGTCTTCATTTGTAAATGCCCAATGTTAAAATGGGCTAAAAATTAAGTCATAAAAAGTGCTCATAACTTTAGAATGGATCAAGATTTTTTTTAACAGATTGCAACAACGTATTCAGCGTAAAAATCTAGTTTGAAGCGATGGGTCACAAGCCTACCTTTACATTTGAAAAAAACTTTGTATCCAATATGGCAGATCCAAGATGACGGCCAAAAATGTATACACAGTCAAAATGAAGTACTTACTACTCTACAATAATCTGACGTGGTTGGGAGTTGATATCTTAAGAAATGTTGAAAAAAGTAGGGGGGAACTCATTTAAAACTCACCCTGTATATATATAATATGTTGAAAATAGTCGTTGTTCAATAAAAGTTTAAGAGTTAAAAAAGGGTAGGTTTGTTTTTAATCATGTATTTTTTATATTTTGAATCTATATATATAAAAATTTGAACTAATGGTGTTTTTGACCTCTGGGGACATCAAAATGAAAAATAAATCGGTCCCAGGCCTAGGTTTTATCGTGCCACCTACGGTAGGTAATAGCTACCAGTTAGGTTGCCGGTTGCGGGGGGCAATTTATTTCCCTATAGGGAAATTTGCCATAACCCTACCAGTAGTGTACATTAGAGACTTATTTAACTATGTCCTCTTCAAGTAAAAACGCTTTAGCTTGTCCAAATAGACAGGATGTCTACGGTACCTCAATACCCAAAGCCAGTCCTTTGAATGAAGTACAACACATTGAAATCAAAATACTTCCCATCTTGGCCATAAGGATGGGATAAGATTCCCTTACTTATTTGTTGATTGTGCGGGTAAGAACTAATTAAACTATTTTGTAGACTTACCGGTTGATGGATGCATAGTTCCAATGAGTAATGGCATGAAGAGCCGAGCCTGACGGACTGCCAACCTCTCCCTCAAAGCCTGGCAGCAGCGGCATCACGACAAACACTCGGAACTGAGTCTTCTCTCTGCAATACCAGTGTCATGTTTCAAATTAAGCAAGAAGGAATAGGTAGGCTATATATGCAATTAACTTGCCAAAGTAAAGAATCCCAGACAGTTAACAGCACACAAAAAAGTTCACAATTAATTATTTGATATTTTGCCCAAGCGACTTCTTGGAAATAGTAGAGGGGTATTAGTTCAACCTCGAAGTTGTAGACAATCAACTTGGAGCTCATTAATAGGTGGGTATTGATCAAACCATTTAGAGTGGTAAGCTGGTAAGCAGAATGCACATTAGAACCTTTCTCCCCCAAAGTTCCTTTAATTTCTCCCCTTATACCATAGTATATGGAGAAAGTATTGTTTTTATCGACATTTTTGAGTTTCAGTTCTGAGATATATATCCGTTTTGGGTCAACCTGGACCCAAAAAAGTGGTTTTCGAAGTGATGTGTGTGTCTGTATGTGTGGATGTGTACAGAGCTACAGACTACACCTATGGTCCGATTTTGATTAAATTTGATATGTAGGTAGTAGGTACTAATCCATGGTATCACCAGGTATATTTTTTCATTTTTTAAAATTCAGATTTTTAATGTTGATTTCCCCATAAAAACCCATAAAATAACAGAAAAAACGGATTTTCTCAAAAATTACCTGAACAATTTTGATAAAAATTGAGTATGTTGTAGAAATTCTGAACAAAGTGGTATTCCTCCCATTTCTGTAAAAATTACGGCTCATAAGTTATTGTAAATCAAGTTATTTTCCCATAAAATAAGAAAAAGTCTTATTTTATAAATAAAGGTTTTGATTGAAATTAGTATGTGATAATCCTTATAATTCTTAACAACATAGTGCAACCTCCCATTCCTGTAAAAATTACGGTTCAAAGTTATTGTAACTTATGTTATTTTTCCATAAAAAACGAAAAAAATGGATTTTTTGAAAAAAAATCGAATTTTTATTGAAATTTGTCAATACTTGTCCTTATAATTCTAAACAAAATAGTGCAACCATTCCTGTAAAAGTTGCGGAGCCAAAGTTAATGCAACTTTTGTGATTTTTACTATTAAATATCATAGTTACGCTCATCGCTTACCCATGATTAAGGTTGTTGACAAGCTAATGGGAGAAAGTATATATCAGATTGCTGATACCATTTATTTTGCAATCGTCTTGAAAATTTCAAATAGATCTCATCTAAACATATTCAGAATATAAGAGTGGTGAGGGAAGTTTTCTCTCTTTCTCACACTACCCTTTCTACACGCCACGCTAATTGACAAGACTTTTAGCCGAGTTTATACAGTGCTTGCCTTGAAGATTTACAGTTTGATTCTGAGATGAGGCTGTAATTTTGTATGGTTTGAAACTGAGTTAGCTATTCTTGATTATAGGGGTTTTAACACATAGTCCTGGCGACTGAACCATCTGAACTTAATCAATAATAAAACTATCATTTAATCCACTCAACACTCGTCCTTCATCTTAAAATAACCTTGGTATGTCGTCATATAAAACTAATCTCATCCTAGTGCACATGAATATTTTCTTTCTACCCTAACTCATTCAAAGTATTTTACCTATGAGCACGCAGAATCCGTTTGAACAACGCATCACCTATCTGGTTTCTCACTTGGAGCGAAGCTAGAGTGATGAAGAACTGGTTCTCAATGTATACGTAGCGCTTGGCCTTGCTGATGATGTCTACGTAGGCCTCGTGGATGCTGCCCTCCCATGTCTCCTGGTCCATGAACCCTGCCGACCAGTGACTGACAGACCTGACAATCTGTCAGTCACAGTATAGGTTAATGAGGTACTTTTTTAAAAACACACAATTTGGTTTTTAACATTAACTTAAATAAATTTTAGTTCATGAAATAAATAAATATTAAATTTCAAGATTTTTTAATACACAAGGTAAGAGGTAGACGTTCCTACAAAGAAATTGTCTTTCAATGAAGAGAGTCACTTTAAAAAACAAAGAAGTACATCGATGTATTAACACAAAAACATAATAACAGTTAAATGGCACAAGTAAACATTAATCTGATAAAGTTCACGAAAAGATTTACTTTTTGAGTCTAGAACTGTAGAACTACTGTCAGATTTGCATCTAGTGAAATCAGCTGATTGGTTTTCAACTGGATTGGATGACAATGGTAAATATATGCCCTTGCGTAACCTGAAAATATGGCATTTTTTTGTGGCAAGACTAGTTTTTATGTGCAATCCATGGATTACCATAAACAGGTATTTACAAATAAATAAATTATTACAAGTAATATGAAACTAGGGGACCATATTTTTAGTTATGTATGCAAATTGAAATTAAAAACACACTATTTGACAAATTTAGTCGCGGTCTTCCTCTAACACGATACATTTCAACACTGCATTACCATTCTAACCTAAAAACAGAAGACTAAAATCAATAAACATACAAATATGCAATGTTTACATCAGCTGCTATATTTCAAACAGCATATAGAAACAGCTGTAGCAGTACTTGGATTAGAAAATGACTGGATCTACGACAGCATGTGAGGCAGAGCAGGGGTAATTTTTGACAATTCTGACATTTTTCCCACTGTCCTTGGACCATAAGCTTTAAAATTAATCCTCAACAGTTATGCTACCTTTTTCTAGGGGCGGCTCCAGAGGGCATGCCAGGTAAGCTCGGGCCTACCCGACATTTTGGTAGAAATTTCAAAATTATGGATGAATATAGAAATTTAATCATATTTAAATATAGGAAAAGCATTCATACTCATTATTTTGCGTTTAAATTTTAAAATATATTTAAAAATTGAAGGGGGAAAGCCCTTCAAACATTTCGTCCCCCAACAAACCCTTTCTTGATCCTTTGTCAGGCTTACCCAAAAAATTATTCCTCGAACTGCCACTGCTTTTTCCTAGCTTGAGATATTGTGGGGACCGATTCGCTTACGGAATTAAATATATAGATAGAAGATACATACAAATTAAAAGTTGTAAATTTTCATTGGTAATACCATTACCCAGACTATAATACAATGTTGTGTTTTAAATTTTGCTTTGCACCAACAATGACTAAGGAAATCTTTCCCTCACCTGAGCTTTCACCCTGTACAGTTTGACATCGGGGAGCTGCATTATTGGAGTCAGCTCTACGTCTCTGTATGTCTTTGGTATCAGGTTAGGGTACATTGGGTTCAACTTGGCCTTATCCAGCTGGAATTAAAGATAATATAGTTAAACCATTAAAACTGTTATTTTCAAATTTTTGGAAATGCACATCAAATTCTGTTGTTTCATGAAGATTTTATTCTACTTTGTTGTAGAGCCATTGTCATGTTTCTTGTTTTTTTTTTTTTGTTTTTTTTGTTTTTTGTAAGGGAAAGGTGAAAAACTACTTTTTGCTAATAATACCTAACTTTGACCTTGGAATGCTTGTAATCATTCTTAACTTAAAATCAGGTGATCTACGGTCAGCTGAGTTACCTTGAGCGGGTAGTGTAGGAGGGGGGAGGGGCTGGCTCAGAGTCCCTAGCCTGAAGCAACACAACCCCACGGATAATACACATCGTCGGGTGTTGGGTGGTGGCGTTTCGTTAACAGTTTTGTTAGGTTTATAAGATAAAACTTCAGTATACTTGGCAGAATAGAAGTATCTACCAACAAATTGTGTTTTAAAAAATTTGTCAGGAGAGAAAAACATCCGTGAACAAAGGATCGGTTTTACAAACGGTTTTAGCAGAAAAGGGTATCGGTTGTGATTTCGGTAATTCATAAGGAGAATGAAATATCTAGTATAATACATTGTAAATTGTAATAAATACTCAGTAGCAGATAACTGTATGACTTAAAATTGAGATCAAGTTAACTGTTGTTCAATGTATTGTGTGTGTTCAATTATGTGGTTGATGAAATAATTGATCTTTGGATAGGCTATCTTCACTTAAGGATTAAAAGTTTAAATTTGGTTTTGAAATAATAGATTATTAAAAATTCTTCCTCTAATTAGTGAAATTAATGTTCTGGAATAGGCTGCAAACAGTTTCTTGATGTTAAAATTTAGTATGAAAGTTCAAAAGGTTATGGCCAAAAAAAATCTAATGGCTTCCAGATAAAGAAAGGTTTTACAGGAGTGGTCCCACCCAAATTAGATGTCTTCTTCACCGGTCAAAATATTCTTGATGTTTATAAAAGGGACATTATATGACCTGTGAATCTTCTTTCATAACATGTTCACTACATCGTTTAAATAAACTTGTATAGGGACAAAATTTTGATGTAACGAAAAATTCCAGTTTTAAGTATCACTAGCTAGTAAGTTATGTAGTTCAGCTCTCTTGGAAGGTGGGAAGGTTTAGGATATTGCTGCACTCAAATCACATGTCAATACTAACTATATCACTGTAGACTTTTAGGTCACTGTTCACACACATACGCACATCTGCTAAAGAGCTAATTTTGAATTTGGAAAAGTTATCTAAGTAAATTATATTAAATTTGAAGCAATTTTGTTACAAAAGGTGGCTATCACATATTTACATAATTAGGTTATTTAAAAGTTTTCTATATTACATTATATTATATTAATTACCTATTGGTCTGCTTGGACAATTATTACACATGGTTTGGATAATTTATTTTTGTAAAAAAATACAACCGACTTCAAACGCTCTAAAAAGAATGAAATAATTTCAATAAAGTACACTTTTGTATTAGGCAAGCTCACATATTTTAAATCGGCGCGGCTCTATGAAGATTTTTGATACAAAATTGAAAGAGGGTGTCCATATTGCAGGTGACTATCTATAACTAAAGGTGTTAATCTGCATGTCTTTTTCATAGTTATGCGTTAAGTGTTATTTTATTACCGTAATCAGAGATCGGCATTATAGTGGTATTAACGAGTATCTTTAAAAAGATTATAACGCATTTAAATGTTTCTAACTTGGAAAAGTAACGTTTTAATACTAAACTAGCTTCTTTTCCCTATCATAATATCAAACTAAATTATTTTCCTATTCATATAGAACATTTGTGTGTGATATTTTCATAATGCATTTATTCTGAAGTAAACATAAAATAAAAGAAAATATTTCCTTTTATAAATAAACAAAACAGTTCAGTATGTTTTTTATATATTTATGTTATCCAGCTACAATTTATTGATTTTCAAAATACACACACAATATTTTTAATTTCAATCATATTTGCAGTTTGAGCCGCGCCGACTTGAAATACGTGAGCTTGCCTAATACAAAAGTGTACTTTATTGAAATTATTTCATTCTTTTTAGAGCGTTTGAAGTCGGTTGTATTTTTTTACAAAAATAAATTATTTCATGATTTTTAGTGACTGTATAATTTTTTATATATTAATTACTTGAGGATTTTTGATAAGCAAAACTGTTTGAAACAATCAAAAGTTCCACAAAACAATCATTATTTAAAACTGCTTGAGTCACCTGTTCAGGTTACATAATCAATGGGTATGAAAATAAACATATTTAGATAGGTATTCCTTAAGAAACTTAAGTTGTCCATTACATTAGGCCTAATGAAAAACTAATTGTCTTTTCTAGATACATTGAAATGTCAGACATCAACGTTTCCTGCAATCGGTGTACTTCTACATAAAAAGAAATACAGTAACGTCTCAAGCCTTTTGGAACAATATGAAAGTTATTCCTCAGTTACCAGCACTAAAAAATCTCTCAAAAGTGGAAAATTGGTCGTTAACACGTATAGTACCGGTACCTTTGGAAAATATTATATGAAAGATTGGTTCAGCTAAAAGTGGTGTAAGTCATGTATAGGGGGTTTTGTTTGCTCAAGATATAGCCTAGTCGAAACTGCAAATCATCTTCCTCTAGGACTTTCCGAAGCAGGCATAATAGTATTGATATGTTATAGTAACTGGGTAGAGAATATTAATAAACATTCCACATCTGCAAATGAAATATGTATATGAAAGATTGGTTCAGCTAAAAGTGGTGCAAGCCATGTAGGTGGTTTTGTTTGATCAAGATATAGCCTAGTCGAAATTGCTAATCATCTTCCTCTAAGACTTTCCGAAGCAGGTATAATAGTATTGATATGATATAGTAACTGGGTAGAGAATATCAATAAACATTCCACATCTGCAAATGCATGTTTAGTAATTAAAATATTTAACACTTTTAAGACAATTGACGATTATGCAGTGTCACACTTCTTAGGTCGTGTAAGGAATAATTGCATTTGATTTATATTTAGACCTGTTTTACGAATGCTTTGGTTTTCACAATACACATTTATTTGTCAATATCATACAGCTATTCACTGAAACATATATGTTTTTGTAAGTCAGAATATTCAATACTAACAACAGAATTACTGTATACACAAATCAGGTCAAACGTTAAAATACATTTTTTATAGTAACCAAAACAAAATGCATTTTTCTCAATGTAATTCATTTAGGCTCCATGGCAAGAAATAGTTTATTGATCAATATGTTTCAAGAAGAATTGTCTGTAGCTTCATTTAAATGGTTTCAACTAACAGCTGTAGGAATGTTATTATTATTTATTGCCTTCTCTGCACAAATGTAAACAATCTGCACAAATGTAAACAAAATAAATGTTGAATGTTTAAGGTTTTCAGAATTTTTCACCGAAACAAATATTATACTTAAATATAATATATAAGGTACCAAATAGAAACTCTCCTGGTTATTTTGATGGTGGAACCACACTGATCGGTAAAAGAATCACAGAGAAATTGGTGAACATACATAGAAAAAAAAAAACATCGCCACAAACAAATTGAGAACCTCCTCCTTTTGTTGGTAGTGGGGAAGTCGGTTAAAAAGGGAGCATAAATATTTACATTGACATTGACATACAGATTTAAAAGAAACGTATGGTGAACATTGAATTATGGACGAATATCAGTGGAAATATAATGAATTGTTGCAAGCTTCAGTATCCCAATGACAAAGGGCATTTCAGTTCAAAATTATCCCTGCTAAGGATCAAACCAGCAACGTTGTGATTTAGAGGAGTGCACTACCCAGACAATTATCAGACAAATCCATTAGGGGGTGTATTCAACCAATGGTTCCAAGTATAAAAATGAGTCCTAGTAAGAAAGTAAGCAGTACCTAGCCTATATTATACTATTTCCAATAAACAATATTGAGTAGACAATTTAAATTTAAAACTACTTTTAACTTATTGTAAACAAACAGGTTTAATGGAAGCTATACCTTGACAGCGTTCCATCGCATGATGAAGTGTCGCGCCACATCTCTAGCGGCAGCTCCGTGTACCATAGCCCCAACATCGTGCCAGGGCATGCGGGGTGTGTGACTCCTATCTACCAGGTCTACCAACAACACAACAAGTAGAACAAAATATTTATCATACGATAAAAAACAAAAACCTCTTAAAGTTGAATAAGTTAGTTTCCAGAACTTGAGTCAATAATGAGTCTTTATGACAGACCGCATGCTTAAGTGTGTATTATTATTAAGTGTCTGTATATCACCGATCGTGTTTTAAAATCAAAGACACTGATGAAGGGCTGGATCAAGAAGCAAGGACACCATTTTGATCAACCATTATCAGATTAGACCTGATGACTGATGTGCCTAGTGACAATCTATAAGTTAGCCGATTACAATCTATACTAAGCTCAAGGTGAGGTAGCCTCTGGATCACTAAATTTAAGCAAAATGGTTTAAGTTACCTGGCTTCGTCAAAAAACGTTTTTTGTTAACCTGAAGATGGACTTATTTTCAAGTCCGAAACTATAGTAGTGTAATACTGAAGAAGGATCACTTGATGAAGCCAGGTAACTTAAACCATTTTGCCTATACTAAGCTCATTAAACTCATAAACTCGTGAAGAATTACAGAATAAGTGTAAATGCATCGAGTAGTTCTGGGAGTTGAATTCTAGAATGATATTATAGAGTGGTGTTTTAATACTAACCTTGATAAGGCCTGTCCAGATTGTTGAAATCTTTTACAATGAAGTTGGTATAGTCTTTACCAATCCAATATTTGGCATTACCAAAGAGGCCTTTCATTGAATTTTTACTAGTGTCCACAATCTCTTGAGCTTCACCTCCAGAAAATCTACACAAATTGTGTTTAGATACAAATTTCTAGATATTCGTGCAAACCTACATTAAACTTCTATCATCAAATAGAAAATTCTTTTAACCATACAAACAAAAAGCTAAAAGTAAAATTAATATTCATATAGCTAAGGACATTTAAATTACAGATATGAAAAATGTTGTAATACCTGGAAAACAAAAGATAGTCAATAAGTTGGGAGACCCATGCACACATTGCACAGTTTAAAAGGGTCCAAGACTTGTTTCTGAGAAAAAATGAATCCAGTGAAATATTCATTTACCTTTTCATTATAAATAGTAATTTACCTACCACAGTCAAGTCACTGTTGTTAAAAAGGTAGCCTATTTAAAATACTTTTTATAAACAGTTTAGTCTCTTGTTTACAATCTGACTGTGGTCAAACGTTTAACTGAAGGAATAATTATAATTCACATTCAAGCTGTTATGAATAAAGATGGTCAGCGTGACTGGATTTTTAAAAATGGATTCTAGAAATCAATTAAACGTGATGGGGGGGCAGACCCTAAAGGAAATATCCTAACCTCTTTAAGCACCATTTGCAGCTGTGCTAGATCTTAAGCTTTATAACGACACCTCAATTGTAAAATTTGGTTAAATAGGACAGCTGGAAAAGGGATGTAACACAGAAAACCCTTATTGTATTAGTATATAGATAAAAAATATCTAGGGTGGTATTGGAAGCTGTGTAATGCAAAGCAAAATATGAAGTTAACCTCGATAACAAGTCTTATTTAATAACCCCCATGAGAATGTTTTTATCGAGGTTCTACTGTATCACTTGGGTGCTGAGGGAGGGGAAGGCTATTTTATTTGAGGTTTTCCAGGCACATGTATGGTATTCCTGCTAGGAATGCCGGCCATTTCTCAAAATAAAATAAGTGTTTGGTAAAACCATTATAAAATATTTATTCAGGCCTATGGAAATTTTGTATTTAATTTTGTATTGTTTTTTATATTATTATATTTTTTGTTCCGGGACGCTAGAATTCTCGCACAGCCTCGGCTGTCAAATTATAAGACTCTTGGCACTCAAGCTATGGCAATTGACCGTCTCGGAACGAGATACCACGGCACTCAAAGGGTTATTTATTGATAAAGTACACTTTTTTAACTAATGTACCATTCCTTGTTCCATATAAAAGTATATATAAAAATAAAAATCAATTTAGGATAAAAGAAAGGTTACTTACATATTTTCGCTGTTGGCAACAATTTCAGGAAGAGCAGTCTCCTCCACCGGTACATCAGGAGAACTTTCATTAACTTTCTCCTTATCTTTTTCTTCTTCACTCTCACTTTCACTGTCGAAGCTCAATAGTGATTTGACATTATCTTTAACCTGTACAAAAACAGCCTCAAATTAATTACAGTAAGGCAGTTTATTAATGAGGAAGTTCTTGTCCAAGAGATCTTTGTTTTTTACTTTATACATGAGCTTATAAGGCTTTGCTGGACATCTTCCGTTATAAGTGGACAGCTTTGGGCCCTGAACCATCGAGTCATGATGTCACTTACAAAATTACTACTGGTGACTGGAGGAATTTGAACATCCAGGACAAAAATACACAACTATTGACAACTAAACCAGCTATATCTCAATCAGTATCATTACTTTTGTGACAGTAACAAGATTTAGATGTGAATTTCAAGATGAGTATGAATGAGTGTGCTGACCTGCCTCACTTTGTTACTGACTAAGAAGAAGATCAGACGTTTCTCTAGCCATGACCATTTGTTGAAAGCGTAATGATAAAAAACACCCAGATCCAGTTTAGAACCATCAAAATTTTCTGACTAGTCCCATAAAAAGTAACTGATGGGAACAGTGTCTTTTTCGGAAGGATCAGGGGCAGTAGGATGTAAACAAACCACAAATCATTGTCACCAATCAGGCCCAGGCCATCTCAAGGTCATAAACCCTCCCCTCTTACCCCATTTGCAATACAGTACAATGCTCCAATTTGCGTCAAAATTGTACTACAAAACATGAGTAAAAAAAAAACATTTCTTTGATGAAAAACAGAAATTTGTTATGGATTAATTTTAAAGAAACTAACTCACGGTAGTTTGTGTCTTGTAAAAAAATATTTGATTTCATCTTAAAGACTAGATCTTCTTGTGTTCAAATACTTGAATTGTCATTGTGTTCAATAGGTGTGTTATTCATTGTGATTCCTGGCAAATACAACATTCAGTTATGTTTTAATTCAAAATTAATTTTTCATAATTTTTCATTAATTCAAAATTAATTTTTGTATTTCTAAAAAACAAACTGTGTTGTATTTCTATACACTTTCTTATTTGGTAGTATTCTGCAGATTAACCATGATTTTACGTATCTGGGAAGCCTCAACCCTACTTATACATCCCGGTTATTCAGGAGTTGAGCATCACAGGTTAAGGTTCCTACCACAGAAAAAATGACTTCACACTTATCAGAGAATGAACATTAATCAAGGTTTTGAGATGACAAATCACCAAAACATTCCCCCTTCCCTCCTCCCTGGCTACCACGACTGCCCCCCCGCCCCACAGGCCCACTGCATACCAAAGCAACTTTCCCTTTCCCCACCCACTGCAAGGGCGCTGACCCCTTACGGTCGCACACAACCCTCTCTGATCGTGTAAAAAACTTGTATTTGAGGTACTTCCGACCGTCCAAAAATCTAGCTATTTCAACTCCAAAACTACTGACGAGTATATTATTATCTATTCGTTAGCTGGAATCTAACTGATTAGAAAACTAACGAATATGGTAGAAGTTAGCTGAAAAAACTAACGAATATCGCTAATCGTTAGAATGATCCGTTATGATTATATGATTTTATGAAATAAAATGAAATATTACTTTATTATCACAAAAACATTTCACAGATCCAGCGTTAGCTGGTGAAACAGGTGATATTGTCAGAGATCTTAAACACTAAGTTACATAACAAAACTAAAATCCACATAGCTTAAACTAAAATATATTTACTTATCATTTAAATAATCGGAAATATTATAATAATTTTTCTGTAAAAGGTATCGTTTGAAATCATTTTTAAATTTTGAAATACTGTTAATTTCTTTGAAATTATTGGGTAGACTGTTGTAAAGCCTTAATCCCATATAATAAGGAGATCTTTCATATAAACAAAGGCGATGTCTTGGATATTGAAAATTTTTTGAGCGTGTAAGATATGGATGACTGATTTGTTTATCATTGTACATTTGATAATTAATTTTAAAATTCACCATCATTTTAAATATATAAAGTGAAGGCAAAGTTAATATCTCATATTTAGCAAATAAAGCTCTGCATGAGGTTCTTTTAGGCATAAATGATAAAATCCTTATAAATTTCTTCTGAATTTTGAAAACTGCTTTAGAATAAGAAGTTGCTCCCCATAATTGGTATATATTGTTTATATTATTTATTAAATGTTATTACTGTAGTTCTTATTGACGACTGAGATGTATAATTGTAAAAAATTGTACCTATTCAGAAAATAAATTACTTATGACTTATGACTTATGATGATTGGGAATTTGTTATCCCCAAGTATGTCTAATCTACACACACCAACTATACTGACGAAATCTGAAGTGAGGAGAGAAAACGCTTTGTTAAAACATATTACGGTCAACTGCACAAACAAAGTTTGAATTTAAAATACACCCCAAAATGATCTGTTAGAACTTTTTACTTGACTGACCCTGTCAAAGACATTCTTTCTCTCCAGTTCGGGTGTGTCAGCCTTCATGTTCTCAGGTGACGGCTGGTTGAGTAGGTTGCCGTTGGCTGTTTGGAAACCTTCAGCATCAACCTCATCTGTGGGTGTGAGGGGCACATCCTGTAGCTCTGTGCTGGACAGGGACAACATCACAATACACGATACAGCTTACATGGCAGGTAAATGGGTGTAAAGGCTTTCTTTGTTAATGATGGGGAGATCTCGTTAATCTGCAGGGAAATAGTATTCCAATTATTTTGTTTACTCCAATTATTTTGTTTGAGTACGCTCCTCGGATGTTACATTAGTTGTGCTGAAATGTAAAATAGAATGTTGTATTTATTTTGTAGCAGTGAAACAATAAATCAAATTGATTTTACTCTAAAAATGAAACAAAACAATATATTATAAAAAAAAAACCACTAACTGGCTCACTTGTAAGAGTAAAACTCTCTAAAGAACTTTACATTTGTTCTTGCCTGAAGCTAGCCACAAATGTAGCTTTTGTAAAACATTCACATCCCAGAGAAAAAAATTTAAAAACCTGTAGACTAAGCCAATTTATATTTACCTGGCTGGATGTCTACTAAATATTCCCTAAAAATTTTCAGATTTCTTTCCTATTTAAATAACATTATTTTTAATGAGTACTTAGGTTTGCTGTTACAGGGAAGGTAATGAGGTACCTATGTGTTCTTTTTTTGAGGTATGTTAATTTTTGCTTGAGTTATCACGCTAATGGACAATGTACATACGCTATTCTGTAAATTTTGAAATCATGTTTGTTTATGTTTTTTGAAATAGTTCAGTCGAGATAGTTTATTTCATTATCGTCAATTTCTTGGATAAATTTTTATTTTCTTGGAATTTTACTAATACACTAACCAGTAACCATCCTTGGAAACACAAACCATCTGCTCCTCTCGATATCCGACCTTTGGCCGTTACGACCATGGCCCAGTCCCGTTATGGCCGGATATGAGGGGTTTTATTGTACCCTGTTACTATAATTTTTAAAGTTAAAATTCACTCTCAATAAGTCAGCCTCACCTATTGTCAGCAAGAACCTCAGGCACGGTGGCGAGGCCCACCCCAAGTGAGTTGGTGACCCTAGCTAGATGTAGCAGTGTGGGGGCCGAGGTCTTGTACTGGTGACTGGACGTGGATATCCTGTGTAGTCCGTTCCTCACTGCAGACGACACACTTCCCAGGTCTGTCAATCTGAGCACAGAGAAGGAATATTAAGGATAAAAAAGAGTCATTGCTATTAACTGTTAGCATCCTTGGTCAGAACTGTACGCGACAGGCCTTTCTTTCATTTTTTAGCGAATTTCCCTATAGGGAAGTAGCTATTACCGTAGGTGGCACGGTAAGACCTAGACCCGGGACCGATTTACTTTTTCATTTTGATGTCCCCAGAGGCCAAAAACACCATTCGTTCAAATTTTTATATATGTATATATATATATATATAGACTTATATATATATATATATATATATATATATACGTCCGTGAACGCGATAACTTGAGTAATTTTTGTCCGATTTTGATGAAATTTGGTTTAAAGGTGTAAAGCGGAATAAACTTGAATGAGTTCGCTAACCAGCACAATCGGACCATGGGAACGGGGCTTTACGGGGGGTTTTATGGGGTAAAAATTGGGTTTTCTCACTTTTGACCCTCAAAACACAAAATTTCCCGATTTCTCTTTAGACCTTTTTAAAGAGCTTAAAAAAAACAAATAATTTAGTATATAAAAGTATTTTTGTTCAATTATTAGTAACGGAGAAAATTAAAAAAAATTGTAAATTTAAAATTCCCATGTTATTCTTATGGAGAATATTGTCAAATGTTGTAGTTTGCTTGTTTATGGATATATTTTGATCAAACTTGGCAAATTTATTTATTTTGTACTAAGCTATCAATATTTTACTCAAAAACACACTTTATTAGTTTCCTTGTAGCAGCAAACCTAGGTACTAGTTAAACCTAATGTTATTAAAATATATTTAACTGAAAATCAATTCAGACAAATGGAAATTTGCTTAGTCGGCAGGTTTGCTGCGGCGGGGGTATTTATGTTTTAAATGTTTGTTATCGTGTTACGTGTGTGTATCAAGTTTGACAATGCCAAATCCGGTGGATGTATGTATCTGAGGATGGCATTTTGATGCTAAAACGGCCGTAATATAAACAGAAACTACAGAGCTGTGACAAGGATAATGTACAATTATATTATAGTAATTTGATAAAGTTCAGATGATTGACAACAGAATTCAGCACAAACTATGAAATTTTAAAAGCCTATAGTACGAAGGGCTTTCACGGTATATCATACAAACCCACAAAAGGCACATCTAGAGGATTAGAGCTTTAAATTGATACCCAATATGTCTACAAGTATAAATATTTAGTTGATTTGCTGCACACAAAAATCCTAAAAACTCTTTTAATAATATAAGTTAGATAATCTTTCCCGGAATCAATTTGGCTTCACAAAAAATAGAAGTAATAGAAGTACAGTCAATGCCATCCACTTCCTAGTCTCATCTTTAACTCAATCCCTTGATTCAGGAAAGGCTGTCGCTAGAATCTTCTTCTATCTTAGCAAAGCCTTCGCTACGGTGGATCACAGAATCTTATTAGACAAACTGTACTCGCTCGGGATAAGAGGTGTGGCTCACTCTTGGGCAGAATCTTATCTGACCGGCAGAACTCGCGCAGTTCATATTGCATTCATTGATTCACCTCCCCTGACAATCACTGCAGGGGTTCTCCACTCTAAAGACTACGATGATATTAAGTGTGATTGTGGAAGCCAGACTTCTGGAAATCTTTTTTCACACAACCATCTATAAGATATCATCATAGCACTCACCGATGCTCGTGGGTGTCCCAGCGGCCGTAGCAGAGGTCGATGCCCCCCAGGAAGGCGACTGACTGGTCTACAACTACTATCTTCTCATGATGAGCCCACAGAAACACTCCAGCCTTGGCATGATCTGGGTGTCTGAGAACCTGCATTACAAATAACAGTACCGATTATCAGTGATTTTGTATGCTGAAGTAAACATCCCATCTATATGGACCAGCTGTAGCTAGTTTTTCAGTTAAAAGAACATAGTTCAGTGGTTTTTACGCAATAACTTAGAACATATAAGGTCCATATTTCAATTAGAAAAACTATACAGTCATTAAATATTTCTATTATTAGAGCATAACCTAAACACTAAGCTCTTTATTTCCCCACCACCTATGAGTTTTAAGCAGCAAATTTCGCTGCCAGAGGAGTGACAACTTCCGCCTTACACAAACCAGCCTTACTTGTTATGGTGAAGCTGCATACCACCTATCGCTATGGTTGGATCTGAGATTAAATTCCACTATAAAGCCTAGTTTAGTTTAGTGATCATTTTTTAACGTTTGTTGTAAGGGAATGGTCTAAAAAAGCTCTGGTCTTGTTACGAGTACATAATGTCGACCTTTTGTTAAAAAGCATCATTAATTGATAGCCAAACGACAAATATGACATCTTGGTCCAGAATACACTGGTTCTTGAATGGAACCAGCAACTTTCAATATCCGTTACAACGGTTACTGTAATATATCGTAAGAATATCAATATCCGTTGTAACTATGATTTCCTTGTACATCACACCACCATGCATCGTATGATTTTCAATAAACAGCATTGGCTACAAACATCACCTGATCCCCTCTCCTCCTAGATCACACCACCGTCCATATCCGTCCGTCCCTTCAACAGCCGAGTCTACCTCTAAAAGTCGAACCACCTGTTTGTGGCCGTGTTATAAACATGTAAAACTCTCGTATTTATTCAGTCCACTTCCAAAGTCCATTCAACCCACGAACACAACAGCTATCAAGGCAATTGCGAATAAATGAATAAAAAACAAGTATATAAGAGAAATGTTAATAAACTTTAATTTTCTTTTTCTTAAAAAAGATTCTAGAACACAAAGAAAATACTTACTTTTATATTGGCAGATTCTAGAACACAAAGAAAATACTCACTTTTATATTGGCAGATTCTAGAACACGAAGAAAATACTCACTTTTATATTGGCAGGATGGCTGGACACAATTCTTTGTTTGCTGTAGTAACTGTTGATTCCAAGTGCAAGTTCCACTTCTTTATACAGCAAGACAAAAACTTTCACACCTTGAGACTGGAAAACAAATTGCATTTTAAGTTAGAAATAATAAAGTGTTTACAACGTTATTTCCTATACAAAAACATATGAAACAAAGTGACGCTCTTTCATATCAAATTTATAGTTCAAAGAGTTGTTTAGTCTCCAGATTACTGTATTATACTTGAAATGGTTTAACCCTTAGAGTGCCAGGCGAGAAATAAAAGTAACGCTCAAAAAATGCCGATGATTTTTCCCGAAGGTCGCGCTAAAAATGCCGAGCGCGATCTGGCGATTTTTAGGTTAAAATTTCGTAAAAATCGAATTTTCGATATTTCGACCAACGAAAATCGATGTATCGCATCTAGTAACTTTCGACTCAATGTTAATATATGGGTTAAAAGAATCCGAGTATCCATTCAGTTGTTATGACAACTGTTCGATCATTACGAAACGTCCGGTCAGCCGGACGTTGGCACTTTTGGCTCGTTCTAAAAACGTCCGGTCGGCCGGACGTCGGCACTTTTGGCTCGTTTTAAAAACGTCCGGTTCCCCGGACGTTGGCACTCAAAGGCTTAAAATACCTGCATATAGTAATCCTTTGATGCTTTCTGGCAACTAGTTTTGGTTCTGTGAAACCAAAGTGTCAAGGTGATAACTTCATTGGAAGGACATCAAAAGAGTTCAACAAATAAAACATATAGATGAGACATGAAAACATAGAATACATATACAGTTACAACACAAAACATACGAAGGGACATTGACAAAACTAACTCGACCTAGACTTTAAATAGCTACTAGGTCTAGACTTTACTTCAGCCCGGTCGAGTTCGTTTTGTCAATGTCTCTTTGTATGTTTCGTGTTGTAACCGTATATTTATTTTATGTTTTTATGTGTTGTTCATGTCATGTGTATATGTTTTATTTATTGAACTTTATTGACGACCTTCCAATGAAGTGATCACCTAACCTTGAGGCCGGAAGATGGTGCCACGGAACCGAAACTAGTTGCCAGGAAGCATCAAAGGATTACTATATGCAGGTATTTTAAATAATTTTAAGTAATTTAATAGGATTGTTAGAGAAAGTTAAAATATCGATTGGTTCATAAAATTGATCAAACACCAAGGATAAAGGAAAGGATACAAATCTAACTAGTAGAGCGCCGACTATCCACATGATGGTTATCTGAATTGCTGACCAAGTCAGTTTAAAAAAGGAATAAAACTTAAAATTGACACGAAAATTGAGAAATTGTCCAGCATCGTTTTACTTAACAACACGACTAACGGACCGATGAGGTTCAAGGAATGATAGAAAAGAAGTGAAATTGTAATGTTTCGAATTACAACTTATCAGCTGTTTGTTTGGTTACCAATTTAATTGTTAATGATCGGTGCAATTAGTGATTGGTACAATGAGTCTTTGCATCAGTCAGTAGCAATGAGAGGTTTTAAACCAAAACATAACCTCTCTTAGAAGCTATGAGTAGTGATTGTTGGTAAATAAAAAACGGTTGTAGGTAAAGTAAAGTACGCAACTCACGTGAATAGTCTTAACGACACTTCCTTCTGTAGAAGTCTCCTAAGAGAAGTGAGATATTAAGTTAAATACTGTAAATTGTGAATCTTTAGGTTGCATCAACTGTCTGGAGTTCCTTATTTTGGCTTTAGTGTAAGAAGCAATCAAAACATTTTTATTCCTAAAAGTAGAAGTTTGTACATTTGAACAGTGTCAAAAACAGTTGTACATACTTAAATTAAGTAACATAATACAGAACATATGAAAATTAAATTATTTTTAGACTATGGAGTTAAACATAATATAGTACCGGTACTTTACTCTATATTAGCAGTGACTTATGAATCCATTCCTTCCTCCTTAATGCATTTTGAATCCAAGTACTTTTTCCTCTAAGAAATTAATCTAAGTAAACAGAAAACCATAAAAACAACTAACCGCTTTCCTCTGTAGTATTTTGTCCAGCCGCCAATAATCACCCTCTATCGCAGGTCGCTTCATGTATATCTCCGGACTCAGCCACCAGTCGGCTATGAAGATCTCCTCTCGTGCACGTTCCATCGCGTCGGCCACAGCGCTCATGTAGTCACATCCGTCCACAAACCAAGATGCCATTGTCTCTATGCGGTACGGCGCGTAAGAGTGGTACCGATTACTACGGATGAAGTCACTGTCTAAAAAAAGTATCAAAATAAGTAGTGTCCATATATAAATCCCCAAGTACCCATGAACTTTTGAGAAAACTGTGCTTGTGATATAAATTAGTCATCAGCTGTTTGATATTGTGAACACTTTTATTTGTTTATCTTTGGATGATTTTTATTGATTCTTGTTGTCATGGAGAAATCAATGTTTACCAGAGTTGGATTGTTCTGATGTGTAGTAAATGTTAGTTTGTTAAAGGATTAAATATCTTTAATTATTTTCTTTTAATTTGCATGTTGATTTAATTACAAGCTATTTCGGCATTATGTCAGGTACTGGTGTTAAGTTCTCAGACTTGATTAAGCAGTATGATGGAAGTGGTGATTTTAGTGAATGGTTAAAGAAACTAGAATTGGTATGTAAGCTCCAAAAGGTGAAAGACTTGCAGACAGTTCTCCCCCTATTTTTGGCTGGAGGAGCATTTTCTGTTTATGACGGGCTAGCAGAAAATGTAAAGAGTAACTATGAGGCTCTCACCAATGCATTGCTGCAGGCCTTTTCTGCGAACTGTTTTCAGGCTTATGCAGAATTTACAGCTAGGCGTCTACTCCCCGGTGAGTCACTAGATGTATATGCTTCTGATTTGAAGAGACTGGCCAAATTGGTGGACCCTTTTGTATCTGATGAATGGATTAAGAGCGCAGTTGTACATGGCTTGCCAGAAGATACTCAAACCCAGTTGAAAGCTGCGTGTTCTCTTCAAAGCATGGCGTTGTCGGATGTAATGACAAGAGCTAGGAATCTGTTGGGCAGTGAGTCAAACTTTGGGGCGGTTGCACAGGCTAATGCCAAAGTTTTCAAAGTTGGTAAACAGTGGTCTAAAAAATGCTTTGTTTGTGACAGGGAAGGCCACGTAGCACGTTCGTGTCCCCATCTAAATCGTGAGTCAAAAGTAACCTGTTACCGGTGCGGGGAGGTAGGACATTATGCCTCAAAATGTTCACAAATTCCAAAAAACGAGTGAATGGGGCTGCCTTATGTTGCGCGGGTGGCCCAATTTCTTCAGCGCAACTCCCTACATTAACAATAAGTGTGTCGGGTTTTAAATGCTGTGCCTTGCTGGACTCAGGTTGTTCAAGGAGCATTGTGTCACCTAGTTTAGTGAAATATGGAGTAGAACTGAAGCCAGTAAGTCAAAGGATTATAATGATGAATGGAGAATCAGTTGAGTGTAACATGACATGTATGTTACAAGTTTTGATAAGAGGTGTTCCGCTCACACTGAGTTGCTTGGTTGCCAGTGTATTGCCAAGGTATCAGATGCTTCTAGGGATGGATGCAGTGACTGCAATGGGAGGTGTCACTATTGATGGAGATGGCACTATTACGTTCAGGGACGTTGGTATCGGAGCGATGGCTGAGGCCAAGAATGAGCTGAGCGTGAAGGAAACCTCGGAGAATGGCAACGATGAGATCGCTATTAATGATTGTGACTTTAATGCGAAATTTGTTGATGGAAAATGGACTGTTGAATGGAATTGGAAAGATGGCGGTAAAACACCTAAGATAAATAACCAAGTACCTTCATACTCAATTTCAAAAGAGGCAAGGGAGGCGTTTGACGCTGAAGTGCATGATTGGATAAGAGACGGTTGGCTCCAGCCTTATGACGGGGAGTTTGATGGCTTAATTCCTTTAATGGCGGTCGTGCAACATAACAAGGACAAAGTGCGACCTGTAATGGATTACAGGGAATTAAATCAGTATGTTTCAAGCCATACAGCAGAGAGTGAGGTTTGTGGGGAAAAGCTAAGGATGTGGAGAAAGCTGGGAGAACATGTGAGCACTATCGACCTTCGTAAGGCCTATCTCCAAATCCATATTGCTCCTCATTTATGGAGATTCCAAGTGGTCCGATTTAAGGATAAGAATTATTGTCTAACACGACTCGGGTTTGGTCTAAATGTCGCACCGAAAATAATGAGCAAAATTGTTAATAAAGTGCTGTCAATGGACCCAATAGTCCGAAGTGCTACGGACTCTTATGTTGACGACATAGTGGTGAATGAAAACATTGTTGACGGTGATGTAGTAAAGAAGTTGTTGGAAAAATATGGGCTGTCAGCGAAACCAGTGGAGCCACTTGATGGAAGTAGGGTTTTGGGGCTTAACGTTTCAAAAAGAGATGGCAAGTTGATGTGGACCAGAGACAACAAGATAAAAGCTTTGGATAAAATTGAGACCAAGAGGGATGTGTACTCCTTGTGTGGGCAGTTAATCGGACATTTCCCGGTGGCTGGTTGGCTTCGACCAGCATGCAGTTTTCTTAAGAGGCAATTGACAGATTTGAAATGGGACGATGTGGTGGGCAACCGAATCAAGATAATGTTAGGAGATATAATGGAAAGCGTAAAAGAAAAGGATCCTGTGTTTGGAAAATGGGCAGTGTCATCTAGTGACAAAGGAACTGTGTGGTGTGATGCTAGCAGCTTGGCGATCGGTATTTGCATTGAAATTGATGGTGAAATAGTTGAGGACGCGTCTTGGCTAAGGAAAGAAGATGATTCGGCGCATATTAACTTAGCTGAGTTAGAAGCTTTGTTGAAAGGAGTGAACTTAGCTTTGAAATGGAATTTGAAGGAGTTATACTTGGTCACAGATTCGGCCACCGTTTATGCTTGGGTAACATCCATATTAACAGGAGACCGACGTATTAAAACACATGGGATGGGTGAAGCTCTTGTAAGAAGACGGTTGGGTTTGTTAAAAGACCTCATATCAGAATGTGGCCTTAAGGTGAGGGTGGATCTGGTTAAATCGCAATTTAACAAAGCAGATCGCCTGACAAGAGTTCCTAAAAAGTGGTTGGCAAGAGAGGAGGAAAAGACCAGTATTGCAATGATGGGTGAAGAAGAGGATGAGGATAAACAAAAGTTGGTCAAAAGAATCCATGGTCTGCATCACTTTGGTGTTAATCGAACTCTTTTCACAGTTAGGCGTTGTTACCCGGCCGTTGAGTTTAGTAAACAGGACGTTGACTGCGTAGTCAAATCATGCAAAGAATGTTTATCTGTTGATCCATCCCCCATCAAATGGAAGCCGGGGCACTTGGATTGCGACAAGAATTGGCACAGGCTTGCGATTGATGTGACTCACTATGGATCATATAAATTTCTTACAATTATAGATTGTGGTCCAAGTCGGTTTTGCATTTGGCGACGGATCCCAAGTGAGACTAAAGAACAGGTAGTAAAAATCTTACTTGAACTGTTTTCAGAACGAGGTCCACCCCAAGAACTATTAATGGACAATAGTGCAACATTCAGATGTGAACAAATTGAACAAATGTGTGAGGAATGGGGGGTTATCCGTCGTTTTAGGTGTGTGAACCGTCCGTCCGGCAATGGAATCGTTGAACGAAACCATAGAACGATAAAGAGAATGGCAACAAGAACCAGAAGAAGTGTTCAAGAAATGGTATATTGGTATAATCTAACACCAAAAGAAGATTTGAATGAAGAGTCGACACCAAGCTCTAAATTGTTCTGCTACAGGTGGAGGTGTAAGGGCGAACCTGTAAATTGTGAAGATCAACTAAGAACTGAGTTTTCACCTGATGAACCTGTGTTTGTCAAGCCTAAAAACTCTCTATGTACTACGAGATGGAAGCCTGGTGTGGTCTCACGGCAGCTCTCACAAACCAGCGTAGAGGTTGATGGTATGCCACACCATATTGCTGATGTTCGTCGTGCTGGTGTCGACACCACGGGGGCGTGTGCTTGTGATATAAATTAGTCATCAGCTGTTTGATATTGTGAACACTTTTATTTGTTTATCTTTGGATGATTTTTATTGATTCTTGTTGTCATGGAGAAATCAATATTTACCAGAGTTGGATTGTTCTGATGTGTAGTAAATGTTAGTTTGTTAAAGGATTAAATATCTTTAATTATTTTCTTTTAATTTGCATGTTGATTTAATTACAAAAACTAAAAGTCACACCCCCATAAACCATATAGGCTACTTAAAATATTTGTCATGACGAGAAACCTTGTGCAAATAAATTGCCCTTTAAGGTTGTAATTCCTTTCTAAATGGAACTTTCCATATACCTGATGTTAGAAATACCTCAGCTATACTTATTTTTTTGTCATTCTTTCAATTTATTAACTTACTAGCTGTGAGTACCCGTTCTTCGTACGGGTTTATTCAAGAATGAGGTTACAAACTTTTTGTAATAACAATGATTAATTTATTTTAACATAATTTAGTACATAAAAATACATTAAAAAACTTAAATCTTAAAAAATATTCGAAAGTTTTAAATAACAAAGTTGGCAAAGATAGCAGAGTTGAAGCGCTTAACATTTGTCACAGCGAAATTACAATATCAAAATTTCAAAAACAACAAATGACATACATTGAAAATAAATATTAAATAGTGAAGAAAAACAAAAAACACAAAAAATTAAAAGGTTGCCTAACTTAATGCCTCTTCATATACTATATTAGTGGTTCGACCGCCTGGGGCATGTATGTAAAGGTTGGTTGGCGATCGCACTCGGCTGCACGCCACGTACAGCTGTCCGTGTGAAAAACATTGCGCGTCACCTAGTTCAATCCCTGCTGTTGACAGTGTCTGACCTTGCGATTTGTTGATCGTCATGGAAAAACATGGATTTAAGGGAAATTGCAGGCGCTTAAACTCAAAGGGATAGTTGCTTGGGATGAGGGGGATCCGGGGGACAAACACCACTTCTCCCGCACCACAGCCTGTTAGAATTTCGGCTTCTATGACATTTCGCTGGAGACTTCGAATTCGAAGCCGAGTCCCATTGCATAATTTAGGAGGGTTTAAATTTCTTAGAAGCATAACGGGAATACCAATTTTAAGATTAAGTTCGTGGGCGGGTAGTCCAGGTGCTGTCACCGAGTCAAGAAACTCTGCCGGGTAGTGCACTGCGTCATCATTTCTTAGAACTGTGTTCACCGACAAATATGTCTTGTCCTCGCTTAGGAATAGGGACAT